ATCCCACCCCCCCCACTTAACATTATGAATAACGTAACCCACCGGCAGCAGATGACTGCCTTGCACGACAGGGCCAGGTCCAGGAAGGCCTGGCGCAGCTCGAAGGACAGCGCGTACTTGAGGGTCTGGCCGTCGATGATCAGCGCCAGCTCGTTCTCCTTCCGTAACGAGTCGCCCAGGGAGGAGCAGTGGGCGGTCAGGGTGGAGCGGGTGGCCTGCAAAAACAGACGAGACCAGACTTGGATTTGAGCAAAAAAAAATGAAAAGTGCAAAAGAACATCAACTGCACAGCACCGTCCCCTGCGAGGGAATCAGGTGCAGTCACAGGCTAATAAAATCCTTCCTCCCTAATGCCACCCTGGCTTAATTTGACATGAAATCAACACCTTAATTTAAAACTAAAACTAAATAAAAGTGATGAAAACCATCTATTTAAATGTGTTTTTCCAATTCTTAAATCATCTTCTTTCCGAATTTTGCTTCTGCTGCGGCTGAGGCACTTTTGTGTTCATTCCTGTGCTGAGTGGAAGCGATCGACTTATCTCTTTCCGCACTGGTACGGACACGCGAACACGCGTTCTGCAGCGCACACGCCGACAGTTTTGGGTAGGAGAACTATGAAAACCTGTAATCGCCTGTTAATCCCTTCATTATGTTTGTGTTTTTTTTGGGGGGGTGTGAAGGTGAATGCAAACAGGAATTCCGGCATACAAAGAAAAACATACAGCCCCGGGCTGAGAAAACATGAGCGGGAATATTTGGGAGGGGGCGTGGTGCGGCCCATGTGCGGGACTGCTTGGGAAGTCGAAAAAAGAAAGGCCGCATTGTTCATGTAATTGTGATGTGGGCTTGTGTGTAGTTTGGCAGCGTCTTGTCAGGTCCTTAAAAATGAGAGGGGGGGGGTGTATAAACGCGTTTGGCTCATCCAGATTCACAGTGCAAGTGAGTTGGGACCAATTTAATAAAATCTCGATTTGTGCAATCAGTTTTTAAACAGCGTAGCATCATAGCTTAGCACCTAAAAACACTTAAAAAAATACATTTTAACTACACTTTAAACAATTTGAATTTTAAGTAAAAAGGTATTTTTCATGCTGACTACAAATTTAAATCAGATATTTTCATTCAATTTTAATTGAAAAATATTTTGTAGGTTAAATGTGGCCGATTCTTTTGTTCGCAAGCGTTGCTTGTATGACAGTTTGAAGCGTGGCGCTCGATCTGGAATCCATTTTTGTTGCCGGGCAACTATCACGCCCTACAGGGGCCGCTTTAATAGCCCCATAACCTAAAATAAAGCGCTCATTAGGGTTGTTTTGCACTCTCGTGAAACGCTTAAATGGCAGAGGAGTTCCGATTTCTCACGTGTTCTCGCAGTTTTGCCGGTGAAAGGCGTTTGGTGTCGAATTCTCGAACGTCCTGTGTGTCACATTGTGCGATTGCGTGAAACCTGCGTGCAAACAAAGCAATCGCCAAACGATTTTCTAGCCTTAAATAATTTGTTGCAGCCAATGCTACGGACTTTATTGCGCTGACGTTCCTGCCAATATTTTATGTAATATAATATTTTACGTTTACAAGAATTTACAGGTATATTTTCATTGAATTATAGTTGCATTTTATTTTGTTTTTTTTTTCAAATTTTATAGTTGCATTTAACTCAGTTATACTGTGGTGGGTTATTAAAAAGACATTTTGGTTTTTTTCTATGTAACAACCTATGACTTCTTATTCCCGTCTCATGCCAGCCTTGAACTCATCCAAGACTCCCGGTGGCACCAAAACAAAGAAACCACAAAAAAAAAAAAAAAAAAAAAAAAAAAAAAACAAACCTGTGTTGCGCTTTCTTGCAAAGATCAAAAGCGAGACCAGAGCAAAAACCGCCCAACTAAGTACCTTTCTCATGCTAAATTACCGCTTATATTTAGACGCCTCGCTACTGAGGGAAACGCTGCCTTCCTCACTTGATTGCGCCATTTATTTTTTTAATCCCCCAAACTAAATATTGACTTATCTCAAGCATCTGAGCTCGAAGAGGCTGGAAAAACACACACACAGTCTGCACTAAATTTTATCTAGATTATATTTGGATGCCTAAGTAGCCCAGACATGCAGGCGGGTTTGGTGCAATTTGGAGGCCAACCAACAGTCTGTTGAAGAATATGCCCCAAAAGTCACCCTAACAACAACATCATGTGAGACTTTTGATACTGTTACTGGTATCGATAACGAGGGCTAAGTGGGTATGAAAGGCTGCTATCACTGATACCCTGAAATGACTTTATTAGGATTGATATGAAAGCAATACTGTTAACGGTAACGTGTCCAATAGGAAACCACTCCTGGTATCGATAACAAGGGATGAGTAACAAATGTTGCTATTACTGATACCTTTCATGATATCGCTAAAAACTTTGGTATTGATAACCGACACTATCATGTCTCTGTTTATTTTGTTTTCGGGTAAGAAATAGCTTTTATAGCTGATACTAATACTGACATCGATGTTGAGTTGAATATGACTGATACGATACCAATACTGATATCATAAACATACAAAGTGACAAGTGACCCAAACAAAAAAATGATATATTACTAATAGGGACTGCTATCACCAATGTCAATAATGATATCGATAATGACTTTAGTATGTCCAATACGATACCACTAATGATATATAAAGGTACATCTCAAATTTTCCAACTACACCGCCATAACACGCACGCACGCACGCACACACACACACACACACACACACACACACACACACACACACACACACACACACACACACACACACACACAGCTGCTAAGAGTGGAAATGAAGCCTGCTCATTTCTGAGGTGCGCGATCTGTCACCATTTGGCGTTTTAACGCATCGTTTCATTATCATCCATGTGCATCTGTACAAATACACACATCCTCTGGCCACACAACACACACACACACACACACACACACACACACACACACACACACACACACACACACACACGTCTATAAATGCCACGGGTGATGAATGCCCAGGAAATACACCAAAAGAAACCCCGTTATATTTGTATGTACAATATGTATACAGTGTAAGTGTGTTTGTGTGTGTAAAGATGATTAATGGCCAGTTCTGTGTGCCTTAAAAAAGGATTGTGGGAATGTTAGAAGACGTGTGTACTCATGCATCCGTTGGGAATGCCGAATAAGACGTTACCCATGCATACCGCCAGCATTTGTGTGTGTGTGCATGTGTGTGTGTGTGTGTGTGTGTGTGTGTGTGTGTGTGTGTGTGGCATCTATGATGGTCACGTTAGCCAGCAGGCATCACTCACATTGAGGCGCACCAAAAGGAGAGCTCCAACAGTCCCCCCCCTTAAAAAATTGCGGATCTCAAGTGCTCGCTCCCACTTTCCCCTCACACACACACACACACACACACACGCACACGCACACGCACACGCACACACACACACACACACACACACACACACACGCCAGGCGCAGAGGTTGCCGTTGCTTCCTACTCAAAGACAAGGTGCTGACAGACGTGGACTTGGTGGTGTGAATGAGACATACAGGGAAGGAATCCACTGCTCAGATTGGCATTCAAACAGATAGGCCATTCTGAAAGACTGCAAAAGGTGGCCTCAAAGTATTGGGATGTTATACAGGAAGTGAAAAAACAGAAAATATATGTTGCTGTCGGAGTAAGACCCTGCTTTGCTTCCAAGATCAAATGAAATCAACCATTCTCAGGAGCTTGATAAAGATAACAACTTTAATATGACTGAACGACACTCATACTGTAATTGAAGAGCACGACACAATGCCGGATTAACGATCACCAACACAACACAATAACTACTAAGAGAGACGCTGGTATTGTTGATACCAAAACGGGATAAAGAAGGGGAGGCTGGTATCACTGATTCCGACATTGAGAACCGATACAAATTTTAACATGATTGATTTATTAGCCACAAGAGAAAGCTACATACGATATTCAAGTAGAGTGGCCACAAAATTTCAAGGGGAGCTGATACCAGTACTGATGATCAACAGAAACTTTAACATGACTGGTACGATATCACGCAGGGAGGCTGATATCGTCAATAACAGCACGATATCAAGTAAGATTGGCATGTATAACTGGTCCCAAAAGCCAATACAAGTTGGCGTAACACGACCGACATTATATCACATTAAAAAGTGGACGGTATCGTTGATACCAATGCAACAAATAAAACAAGAGACTAATGTCACTCATACCAATCCTGATTACCAATCCAAACTTTAATTTAACACACGATATCATGTGGGAGATGCTGGTATCGCTGATACTGAAAACAAATATCCCACAGCCTTTGCAGAGTACTACTTCATTTTAGACAACATTTGCCATGGCTCTCTTCTGCAATGGAAATGAGGCTTTGAGAGGACCAGAGAAGGTCACACAAGAGGTGCGACTGATGATAAACAAGTTCTGGTTCAAGTCATATTGGAAAACAGCAGCAAAGTTATTTTAAGTGAGAGTAAGTGTCACACACATACACACACTAACTGCTGGCAACTTTCACGTGCAAAGACGTCAGGAAAAAACCCAACTCTTATTATTCAAAGCCAGCCAGTTTGCAAACACAGTTATCCAAACTCTATTAAGGATAATCCGCTCATAAGACGAACAACTAATTCAATTGTCGAGTCAGCAGCTCTAAATAGGTCGAAGACCTAGACAGTTTTCTTTAGCTGAAGTAAAATACAGCCAACAAAATTTTCATTGTTGGAGGCAGCACTTCTGCAGCTCTAAATAGGTCAAAGACCTAGACAGTTTTCTTTAGCTGAAGATAAGTAAAATAAAGCCAACAAAATTTTCATTGTTGGAGGCAGCACTTCATATGCACTGTATGCGCAGTATGTGGCCCCAACACATTTTCCATAATAATTTCCCTTTACATGAAACCCACTGAGATTTTTCAACCAGCAGGTTCCAAAGGCGTTGAGTCACCATTTCGGGTGTTTTTTTTTTTTTTCATAAGCTAAATATTAGGTTGTCAGGCAAGATGCTGGCAGCGCACGGGGCAATCCGTCATCTGTGTAACAACCTTGATGAAGTGAGAAAGTTGTGAATGTAAATAGAAAATGTCTTGATGTACAGTTTAGCACATTTGGACAATAAACGAAGCCTTGCACACTATTCAGCGCCAAGCTTCTACATTTTATGAGTCATGAATCACCATGTGGTCTCAAAGACCAAGCTTGTGTGTGTGCGTGAGAGAGAGAGAGAGAGAGAGAGAGAGAGAGAGAGAGAGAGAGAGAGAGAGAGAGAGAGAGAGAGAGAGAGAGAGAGAGAGAGAGAGAGAGAGAGAGAGAGAGAGAGAGAGAGAGAGAGAGAGAGAGAGAGAGAGAGAGAGAGACATGACAGGAATCAAATCAAAACACTTTGGGCAAAGTCGTCACACATGATGGCGTCTTGAGCGTAAAGACGCGACTTGAATTAGACAAACAAGACAGGGACAAAAATAGACCATGCAAACACTTCCATTCGGCAGATACAGCGATATGGGAAGACATTCTGACCGTGACAACTGCAAGTAAAAGAGGCTGATACAAATATTGATATCGTTCGCTGATACCAAGTCAAAGAGAGGACAGCATTGCAAACGACAAGATCAACATGATAGCAATGATACAAGGTGAGAAAACCTGGTATTTCAGAGAGGCTGATATAAATATTGATATCGTTCGCTGATACTAAGTCTAAGAGAGGACGGTATTGCAAATGACAACATCAAGATCAATATGATGGCAATGATACAAGGTGAGAAAACCTGGTATTTCAGATAACAATATGATATTGACATTGACACAAACTTTAATATGGCTGATATCACTGATATCGATACTGATATTTAGACTGATTACTGATATCAACTTTCACGTGGCCGTTGCATCAAGTAAATTAATAGACTAATACAATATCAAGTAGGAGGCTGGTATCACCATGATCAATGTTATCAATGACCAACACGAACCTTAATATTATTAGTATCCCCAATCCTGATACTCAAAAGAAACAATATGCAATTCAAATTTGATAAGGACAGGTACGATATCAATTAAGAGACACTTGCACAATATATGATATTATGAACCGATACACATTTTAATACAGCTGGTATCATTGATATAACTTAGGGATGTTTGATACCACCTTTAACTTATGAGATCATAGATGCCGATACCACTAGGTCTTTTGATACATAAAATGCCAATTAAAGCAATGACAGATAACTGTGAGTTTTTCTTTCTTTCTGATGCACATGATGGTTCATCAACATGTCAAACCGCCGCGGTATAGTGCCGACCACTGGTGCGAAAGACTTGATGTTCGATGCATTGGTATCAGCGGCTAGTATGGACAGCCTTCGCAAGAAGGCGATGCTAGGAAATAAGGCTTTAATGGGGCGATATTGATTCCTGGCCCATCCCTAATGTAAACAGAGTGACTGATAACAATAGCTTAAAATGACCATGAGAAAACCAACTAAGGTCAGGTGAGTGCTGGCCATAAAATGTACACAAAAAAAAAAAATCAATCTTAGAAATGTTAATATCAAAGTTTCCTGCACAACAGAACAACAAGCAACAGTTAAAAGCCCGGTAGGCTTGTGTGTGTGCAAAATCCGTGACAAAGACAGACAAAGGTGTCTCCAGAAATACAGGGGACACCGGAGACTTTAATTACCTGTGAGCACACAAAGAGCCCCGCCCATCCATCTGGCGGGTGGGACCGCGCCCCAGTTTCCACGGCAACCGCCAAGTATACACAACGCAAGCAGCTAAGAGAGGAAGGGGGAAAGCAGTACTCACGTCCAGGGAGTCCTCGTTGACGATGATGAGGGACATGCCGTGCGTCACCAAGCGGCACGAGTAGCCTAAGGAGCACACGGGTTGAGAAGGTCAAATTCAAGGTGACACCAAACAGAAAAACACTGGCCATGATCTCTTCTTACCGATGTTGATGGCTGTCTCTTGCTTGTCTCCGGTCAGAACCCAGATCTTGATGTCTGCCCGCATCAGTGTGGCGATGGTTTCGGGGACGCCGGCCTGGAGGCGATCCTCTATGGCGGTAGCGCCCAGCAGAAGGAGGTTCTGTTGCGTTATGAAAAAAAAAAAAAAAAAAAAACTTTGTGAGAGAAGAGCTCCTTCATTTGGTTTTTATATTTTGCTTTGTTATATTACATGAGCAACAGTATCGGGATAATGACCTTCTTGTTTACCAAGTCTCGTATCAATAAAACATAAGTTCGTGTAAGTTATGTAATGTGATGTAATCAAAGTTCAGATACCCGATTTTTATCAGCCTTGGTATTGGAACTTTTAGATTGCTTCCCGAAGGCTGCATATGTCGAGTGTGAATGTCCAAGTACAAATTGAGCAGGACAGCTTGTGTGTGTGTGTGTGAGGACTGCCGTCATGCCAATAACATCATTCACTTCCAATTATGGCGGCAAGGCCTAAAGTGGCTCTTCTGGACGCCCCGTGACTTCGATGCCAAAAATCCAACCATTACCACCCTGCGCCTCTCACCCCTTTCTTCCCCTTGACTTCAATTTGCACAGCAATTAAACACACATGTACGCTTATTAGACACATTCACAAACACTCCCCGCATGATAACACTGCTATGTTGTTGACTGCATTTTTATTGGGGGGGGGCTCTTGGCAGGTTGGCATGCGGGCTAATTAGACTTGTGGTCTCCTTCTCCTCCCGCTTCCTCTTTTTACCCCCACAAGCCTCCCACTCATGACTCCCTCCTTTGGGCACCTCCAAATTTTCTCCCCACCTATGGAGCTTGATAGCAGAACACGCAACTCAGAAAACTGGCCCGTAGGACGCAAGTGGAGCAGCTGCGCCACCTGCTGGTAGTCAGGGATCTGACATCTAGCATGTCGCTCTAGGGTGAATCACGCTAACAAACGTATTTATTTCGGTTAGTCACGAGAGAATGAGGAGTGTGATACCAATGCTGATATTCATAACCAATACCAATACCCACCAACTGAGAGGGGTGGGAGTTTGATAACATCTTCAGGATGATGAAACAATATCAAGAAAATTAACTTGCTATCACCGAGAGACCAATACTGGGAAAAAAAATACCAACCACCACCAATATCAATGTGGCCAATACAATACCAAGCAAGCGAGAATGGTATCGCCAATCGGCAAGCGATACCAAGGCCATGGCATCGCCAATCGGCAAGCGATACCAAGGCCGATATTAGGGAACTTGACCGGACCTTTTCCAGTAGCTCGTAGCACTCCTCCAGTTTTTGCGCTCGGTCCTTGAGCACGGTGCTGACGCGGTTGTATTCCTTCAGCCACTCCTGGTAGGCGTCCTCTCGCAGGTCCACGTAGGCGAAACACAAAGTCCTCAGGCCTGCATGGATGGAAACGACTCAGGAAGGCAGCAGAAAAGAAAAAGACATTTCCCACCTGTGCTCGCATAACTGACCTTCCGTGGCAAACTGCTCCAGGTGAGCGATGGTCAACTCTTTGTACTGAGAGTCCTCATTCAGACGTTCAAATATCACATTATCCTGAAATACATATATTTATGTCGAGATTGATACTGTAGCAGATACACATATCGACTGATGCGATATCACGTACGCCAATATGAAACCAACCCAAGGCTGCTGTGACAAACACCATTGACTTTAACAAGACTGTACAAGACTGGTATCACGATACCAGTAGCTGAGAATAACTAGCGCCATCGCCAATGGGAATGAACATACCGCTCCTTTGCAGTAGAGCCGCAGCCTCCCGTTCGGGGTCCTCACCACCGCAGACATGCGCTTGCGGTTACTGAAAAGAGAAGGTTTGAGGTTCACGACAATCTTTGTTTGGGTTTTTTTCCATGAAATTTATGAAACACAAGGAAGACCTGGAAAACTCCAACACATTCAGCAACTGGTAGGTCATCTCCTTTCCTCTCTGCAACAGAACAACACAACGTCAACTCCTCTGCAGCTCCAAACAAGATTGAGTCCAAGTTTGAGACTTACGGCATCGATGATGACCGAATCCGGCGTCCGGGCTGTGAAGACGAAGCCGAGACCTTTGGCCCCCTTGACCAGAGCGCCCTCGTCAGGCGAGGAGGCCTGGTAAATGATCTGGTCGTTTTCGCGCTCCGGCACCACCGTGTGGCAAACGGCCATCATGGTCAAGAACTCACGTATCTGAGGGGACGTCAACTGCAGACAGGTCGGAGGTGCATTCGTGAAGAATGGCATACTTTTTAAAAAAATTATTAAATTATAATGATTAAGGCATGATGGCGTTTGCTAGGGGAGGGAACCGCAACAATAAAATAAAATCCATCCAACCATAATCCAAACCCCTTGTCAGCAAGTCAATATCAATATTTGTTGGAACAAGAAAAAGTACACATACAAAAATATTTACTATTATATTCAATTTCCCAAAATATTATTTTGCATTTTTATTTTATTAAATGAATTACAGTATATATGCAGAACTTTAATTTGCAGGTTTTGGATCTTTGTGAAACATACAACTGGAGCTGCTTTGTGAAAACCTTATAGGGCGCTACTGAGCCATTTTTGTTTCAACCTTACAGTACTGGAATGAAAGAGTTATTATTTTGCCATTTTTTTTAAACCTTACAATGCACGAAAGAAAGAATGATTATTTTTCCGGGTGTGATGTGTGTGCAAACTTTCTTATGTTCTCACAAATATTTTGACCATCAAAATCTGTCTTATTTTTCTTGGCAAACAGCGTGTCGCCACTGCGAAGGTGGTCAATGAAATAAAAAATGTGTGCTTGAAATTGCTCATATCATAAATTGTAAGGTAAAAAAAAATAAACCTAAAATTTACCATAACATAATTTGTCATCTCAAAATAATTCAATTAATTACAAGATGTGAAGTTCTAACACATACATTAATATCCCCATAAGTTATTTATCATGGAGAAGTCAGCTTGCTTTAATGTGACACATACGTGGCCATTTTCGATGTTCTGGATGAGAGCCGGATCGTCAAACTCGGTGGAGTTGTTGCTGCTGGACGGCAGATTGCTGTCAAGAACAAAAGAAAACAAATCAATTGGGAAGCTTTGCCATTGCCAACTAATCCTTTTGATGCCCCATCCACCCCACCCCCTCCCCCCAAAAAGGCAATCATGACTCACAGAAGAAAGCCCGACAGACAGACCGGAAGGCGGCTCGACTCACCTGAAGTCCTCCATTGAACGATCGCAGTCGAGATCAGGGAAGTGGCTGCGGTAATAATTGGGGTTGCGGAAGGGAAATCAAGTGGATGAGTTGATTAGTTTGTTCTCGTCAAGCATGCCGGAGTTAAATGAAACAAGTCAGGTGAATTAATGCATAGAGGAGTTGGGAATTAGTAAACAAAAAGAGGGATTGGAGGGTCGAAAAGTAAAGCAGTTGTTTTGTTTTTTTTAAAGGAAAAAAAATGCTTACCCATAAGTGATTCCTGCGATGGTGCACTTCTTAAAGTGCATGACGTTGCAGGTGAGCGTTCCTGTCTTGTCCGAAAACAAATACTTCACCTGTTTAAAAAAAAAAAAAAAAGATAATAAAAATAATCAAATGGGTAAATAATATGCAAAATATGCTCACAAATGTGAAATACGAAGCGCAGGAGAACCTGGCCCAGCTCCTCATTCAGGTTGGACGTTCGAGCCATCGCTGGCGTGTCCGTCTCAGCGTAGTACATCTCCACATCCTTAAAAAATGTAATTAATTTTATAGAACACAACTAGTATCAATTCTAGCAATAGAACAATGACATCCGATAACCTGCATTATTTTAAATAAGGCTGATACAATATCAAATAGCAGAGAAGCTAGTATCGCTGATACTAAAACTGATATTGGTCAGAGAACCCAATTTAAACCTGAGATACCAGGAGGGAAATCAATTCCACCCGTAATATGACCGATACAATGCCAAGTAATACGGAAAGTGATATCAATACCACTGTCAATGATTGATACGATACCAAGTAAAAGAATCCTGAAAATATGCCTGACACGATATCAACTAAAGGAGAGGGTAGTATCAATGATAATCCTATTGTTGAGTTACCAATTTAAATGCTATTAAATGCAATACCACTTGTGACATCAAGACCACTCAATCTGAGTGTTACCATACCAAGTCGGCCAAATGTGTATCGTTGATACCAGTAGTGATATCAACACATCCATTAAACATGACTGATACAAAACAAACAAAATAAGACATCAAAATCAGCCAAAATCAACTTATGCTTGATATCAAGTACAAAAGAGGCTGGTTCCGCCGATATCAGTGCTGATACTGTACTGATAAATGAGCTTTAATATGTCTGATACAATACCAAATAAGCATGGCTGATCTAAAATTGTGAACATTCGTCGTCTCTTACACACTCTTTCCTTCTGGCTCACGCTTCTTGCAACAGAAGCCTGTATTAAGGACAGGATAACCGCTAAAGAGACAAGTATGATTTTGAAATTTGCGATACCACGTCTGCGTACCCAGTTGATGAAGAGGGCCTGGGTGAACTTGACCACCTCCAGCGTGACCAGCAGGCTGATGGGGATCAGGTTGTTGTACAGGATGATGAAGGTCAGCAGGTTGTATGCAAAGTTAGTAGAGATGTCACCTATAATCCACCACCAAAAAAACAAAACAAAACAAAAAAAAACATTAAAAAGCTTTCCATGGATGAAAGGATGTAGGTCATAGTGTCTTAAACTGGCCTCACCCTGTCGGGACAGATACCAGCAAGCTTCCTCGGTGTACTGCCTGTTCCAGATGGCGGCTCCCACCGAGCTGACCAAGGCCATGACCAACAGGATGCCGAAAAGCACCAGGATCTGCATGTTGGTCACCCGCTCAACGTTGGAGCGCTTCAAGGGCGCCTTGGTGGAGTTCTTTTTTTTTTTTTTTTTGCCAGAAAAGAGACGTCTGAGTGGAATTCCCATATAAAATGATGTTGCTATCGTTTTACCTGCATGAGTTTGGAGTCATGGCCGGTGTAGACCACGATTCCCACCACCCACTGAGTGTTCCGGATCTGAGCGCCACGCAGCAGGACCTGGTCTGGGCCCAGAGGAGCAGCTCTGAGGAGGTTAAAAATCCATTATGCAATGGAACCCAGTGTGCGTGTGCGCCTGTATGTGTGTGTGTGTGTGTGTGTCATACTTTTGGTTTTCCAGCCGCAGCGTGCCGGTGAAATCGTACAAATGTCTGTTGGGACCTTCGCATTCCAAGACGCCGGATAAGGACATCAGGTCCTCAAGGGTCTGGATGCCTGCCGTGAGCGAGAGACCCTGCAAGTGCAAGCACATCAGTACGCCGTTTTTAAACAAAATAGATATGCAAATGAATCACAATTGAAAGCATCCGAATAAAAAAAATAATAAAACAAATAAAAATTGAAATGAAAGAAAATACAATTTGTTAGTAATCCCAATAAATGAAAGCAACAATTTAAAATTGACGTTTAAAAGAAAATTTCTGTTAAAATGAAGTGATTAAAATAAAAACCACAGTACAATAATAACAACTTAAAAAAAGAACACAATATTCAAGCACATGAAAAAATATATTACAATAGAAAAAAAAGTTAATAATGATTTGGATTATTTATTTAAAAATCCCCCAAAATGTTAATTTAAAATGAACATTAAAATTTAAAAACAGAATAAAACACAATTTGATAAATAATACGTGACTAAAACCTTCCCTCAATGTTAAAAAAAAAAAAAAAAAAAAAAAGTTCATTGTACCTGTCGAATCTTCAGGTTGGTTTCCCCATCGAGGTTGGAGGTCTCCGTGTAGCACATGGCCTGAGGTTCACTGTGGATCACGTGCGCGGAGTCGTGTTTGTAAAACCACATACTGCACAGCAAGCGTGCATTCATGAACACACTCTGACCTGGACGACACAATCACCATGTCAGCCGGAAGGTGCTGGCCATTGGTCACCTTCACTATGTCTCCTACTGCCACCTAATGGTTGGCACGGCAACGGCATGATGAAGGCCAGATGGGGTGATTTGGGGGCAGTGGGGGGGTGAACAAAGAAGAAATTCGTGAGCAGCCGTTAGAGATGACATAAAATGACAGACGGCACAGCGGTACAGTGGTTAATCCGCCTTTTAATTGGAGTACAACTCAGCAGGTTCACATACTTCAAAATCCTATTGTCCAAATCAGGAAGCTTTCGTTCCTCAATACTGTACCACGGGAAAAAAACTATTGTCAAAAATACAAATACATATTTTTATTTTATTTATGCTTTGACAGTAAACAAATTCTGTTTTTTCAAAACTAACAAATGTATCATGAATAATCGTCACGAAACATGTACTTGAACCTACAGCCGTTGCTTTCTGTAGGCGCAAAATGCAGGATGAGAGAGGATTGAGATATTCAATTTTCCTTAAAATCTCTTTTTTTTCTTTTTTTTTTGCAGGATAAAGCGTTACCTGCTTCCAGATGATGGTCTGCCAGGCTCCGTTACGCAACACTGACAGACAGGAAGGACAACAGCAGCTGTCAGTCAGCCTTTTCAAGAAGAGCTCTTATGCACTTGTCATAGCAAAGTGTGGAATGAGCGACACACAACAGCCCAGGGAAAACAAAGCCACACATGCAGAGTGGTGGTTAATTCATTAGACGGATACCTGTGGTCTTCTTCTTGTTGACTGTGTTGTCCGCTTTATGTCGTTTCTGCCCCGGAGAAAAGGGTTGACATGCTTTTTTTTTTAAACGCTAGCGCAGGGCAGCAGCAGGGTCAGCGAGGATGGCGGCAAGGTACTCACGTAGTCCTCGATGATCTCCTTGATGCCGGCCACGGTGAGGATGAAGATAAGCGGCACCAGCGTAGTGTAGCGGCCGGTCGGAGAGACGTCAGGGATTTGCTGACGAGGAGGGCACAGGTCAAAATCCAGAGTAATAATAACAGCTAGTTTTGAAAACACAGGGCCTTCATGTCATATGCTCTCGCTTCATATCTGTAAATCTGAAGATAAATATTTAAGTATTAGAAAGGCAAAATGCATAGCAAAAAAATTTAAATAAAATACAAAATTATGTGTGTGTGTGTGTATATATATATATATATATATATATAAGAAGATCAAAAATATTACAAAAAAAAACGCCGAAATACTGGACAATAAATAAATATATAAAATAAATATACAAAAAAAAAAAAAAAACCCTGAAAGAAAGACAAAATAAGACAAAACACAAACAAAATTGTGGGAAAAAAATTATAGACAAAAAAGGTGCTTGATAAAAAATGAACAAATACTAAAATATATTAGACCAAAAAACATCAGAAAATTATAAACAATAGCAACTATGAAAATATTTTTAAAAAGCATAATAGAAAAAAGGGCGGCACGGCGGTCAACTGGTTAGCACGTCGGCCTCACAGTGCAGAGGTACAGGGTTCGACTGGCCTTCCTGTGTGGAGTTTACATGTTCTCCACATGCCTGCGTGGGTTTTCTCCGGGTACTGCGATTCCCTCCCACATTCCAAAAACATGCATGGCAGGTTAATGGAGCACTCTAAATTATCCCCCGGTGCGAGTGTGAGTGCAAATGGTTGTTGGTCTATGTCTGCCCTGCGATTGGCTGGCAGTACCCCACCTATTGCTCGAAGACAGCTGGGATAGGCTCCAGCATGCCCCGCGACCCTCGTGAAGATAAAGCAGTTTCAGATAATGGATGCATTGATCATAGAAATACAAATTATTACAGTAAAATCTACATTCGAAATCTAAAATAAAAAGCAAAAAAAGGACATTAAAATATTAGAAAATACAAACGCAGACAAAAAATACACTAGATTAAATATATCACAAAGAAAATGTAAAATAAAACATTTGGAAATAAAAACAAAAAAAAAGACAAATATTGAACAAAAATAATACTCGAAAATATGAAGTCTTTTTTCTGTCCAACTGTTCAGCACAATTGTAAAAAAAATATACATATTGATTATCATACAAGTTGCTTACCTGCATGAGTGTGATGAAAAGGAAGAAGGCGTTGGCGGCCCTCCTGATCTGCTCGTACATGAAGCGGGGAAGAAAGGAGAGGACGCCATATTTGGTGGTACTGGCGGCGGCCGACGGGGGATGAGAAGATCGCGCGTCAGATGGAGGGAGAGAGAGTCGCCATTAACTCACGTGCATCCTTTCAACGACCAGGTTTTTAACCCTTTCCTGCACCCTGTAACCTGATAACATGATAAGCTTGTCCACTGTAGTAACCGCTGTCCCTGAAAGGGTTAATCAATACACCGTTTGAAACCTTGGAGACCAAAAACGTCGCAGTGGATGTCGCCTATAAATATACAAAAACTTCTAAGATAAATTTGGAATGAGCACTTTGACAAAAACGGCGGGGGCGGGACTGTCAGCGACTTCAATCAAATGTATTGATCACATAACCGTATTGAGTACTAAAAGCCTAAAAGCTTCTTTCAGTGTTCGTAAATGGCCTTCAAAAAAAAAAAAAGTCCTTCATGGTGAGCTTTGGAGTGGACAGATAGGAAGGAGCGAGGCACTTTAACCCTTTCATGCACTCTGTAACCTGATAGCATGATAAGCTGTCCACTGTAGTAACCGCGGTCCCTCAAAGGGTTAAAAGAAGGAGGTTTGAAATGATTCATCATCATATCGTGGGAGGGAATTATGAACTGTTCCAAATAGCAGTATTAGCACAAAACCGCCAGGCCTCTGCGAAAAAGCAAATCAATAAATAAAAAGCATGAAAGTTATATCCTGAATGTAAACACTTATTTTGCTTTGGTACCTTCGTAATTGATCCCCCCACCCTCTCAATGTTCTTATTAGGGCCCCACCAATTCATCAAGTGGCTGATTTAATCAACTGATATTAGCTCTTTTCAAGTCGGCAATTTTTTTTTTATTTTATTTATTTATTTATTTTTTTGCTGAACACATTACAACATAAACCAAAAAAATGAAATCAGCCTATTTTTGCTTTTGTTCTACCAGTAATTTATAACATTTTTTGCTTTAAGAAATTATTTTATTCATTTTTTTAAAATTAAATCATGGACTGTTATCGGAAATTAAAATAAATAAATAAATTTTACATTTGTAATTTTTTTAAAAATATAATTATTTATGTTTCAGGATTTTCACTTAATATCTAGTTTTTTCTCTGTAGTTTAATTTAATAAATCAATTTGAACGCCCATTATAACTGTCTTGAAACACTTTTTAATCCCCCTCGCAAAAAAAAAAAAAAAAAAAAAAAGGAATTCTTAAATAAGCGCTGATGTACTGCCAATAGAATTTCCCCACAAAAAATTTTGGCAAAAATATATATTTTTTATAGGCGAGTTCGCATGTGCCAAACCACGAATATGCAGGGGCCCATTGCCTGCTATACTTCAGTTTTTGTTTTGTTTTTTTCCACAATTTTTGTGGATTTTCCAACTAATTACTTTTCAAACACTTACGTACAATGTCAAAATCTATAACTTAAACCCAAGTGGGACAAACGCCATCGCAGTGACGCAAAGTGCTGTGATTTGTGTGTATTTTCGGCAACCGGAGGGATCTCTTGGCTCAATCGCTGCGCCAAAATTAGTTGAAAAAAAAATCGCGGCTTTCAGGGGCCGGCCTAATGCCATTCAGGTTTGAAAATGCAGCGGCGCGGGTCTTCCTGAAGCCCTTCACTAGCCGTATTGATTGCAGTAAGATTAAAGCCTCGGAGCTTTTATCTGGATCCGCTCTGCAGCTCCATATTTCACCGTCGCCACTTTTTATGCAACCTGTGCATTAGTGCCGCTTTGTTGCACTCACTATCCACTATAGAAAGCCAGCCCTCACCACCTGTGTCCGCTGTTTTCTTGTTTTCTTTCTTTTGACTATGGCGTTAACTTAAAAAACGCCTGGACTGTTTTTTCCAAAAACAGAAGACACCAGCGGAAGAGCTTCCCACCCGTTGGGTGCAGCTGCTTACGATATGCTGGCCACGATGCACTGAGTGACAGACGAACGGACACTTTTACTCTCAGTGTTGGCCGAAAAAATATGAAGCCCACAATATTGTCACTCCAAAACAATGAGAATAGTTTGGTTAGCAGTGAGCAAAAATGATGAGGGTTGTCTTAAAAACTTTTTGGATCATACAAAAACACTGCATAAAAAAAAAATGTACCAGACCAAAAATAAATAAATAAATAAATATGAAACAGAAAAACAACAAAAAAAATGAACCTAGATGAAAAATATGAAAATACTGAAAAAAAAAAACTTGACAACAAATTTATAAAAAAATCTGAGAAAAAAAAAACAAGACAAAAAAATTTAAAAGCTATTAGATGAAAAATATCTAAATATTTCAAAAATACGAAAAAAAAGGATTTATGAAAATGCACAAAATTCAGAAAATAAAGCCCAGAAATTTAAAAAATATACATCTTACACAAGAAAAAACTAGCCAAAAAATATTAGATGAAAATACATTAAGATTAGGACCTCCCCCCCAAAAAAAATCAAATCAAAACTTTTTTTGTGGATGCACTGATTAAGTCAAATTTCAACTATGGCCACAGTTCCACTTTGGGCCTCTTACCTTTGGGACTGCCGCAAATAAGCACATAATGGATGAGCTATTAAAGCGCCTTCTTATCTACTTCCACACGTGACGTCTTTCTCTTGAAGACCTCAACATAAGTTTTAGTCAGAAATGTGTAAAAAAAAAAAACGATGTGTTGCATCGACAGGACATATAAAAAGTCCACACACACAAGTTCAAATGGCAGCTTTTTCGTGAAATAAACAAATGAGACCCATCCTAACTGTTTCAAAACATTTTTACACCGTTCTTGTGACCGACAACTTTTAAAAGGCCATTGGAAAAAAAAAGTGAAACCATTTCAGGAATGTAAGGACAAAAATCAAGTGAGCTCATGTGGTTGCACAAGTGCGCACACCCCCCTTATAACTGGGGATGTGGCTGTGTTTAGAATGAACCAATCACATTCGAACTCATGTCAAATGACTCGGCACACAACTGCCATCTTTTAAAGTGCTTCTGATTCATCCCAAATAAAGTTCAGATGTTCCGGTAGGCTTTTCCTGACATTTTTTTTTTCCCTTGAAGGTTTTATACCACCACTGACATGGCGCCAAACCTACTTTTTAGAATGAATGCAAAAAAAAGTTCAATCTTGGTGTCGTGGGACCATAAGATGTTTTCCTACGAGTTTTTGGGAGATGACAAGTGTGTGGGTTTTTTTTCTCTGAAAGATTAAGACCCCGCCCCCTTGCCCAGACATGAGAAGACAGGAGATTGTTTTTGTTTGTTTGTTTGTTTTCATGACTTTTGGAAGAGCTCATCAAACCACAGCAGGGTGAGGATAATTTTGGATTTTTCATGAGTTACCTTTTATTTCGTTTTGACTTTTGTTTTTTAAATTCACTTAGTTTTTATTCGTTGTTCAATTTTGTGAGTTGTCATCTCTTTTCGTTTGCTTTAATTCAATTTTTCTTTTTTTGTATCAGTTTTTATATATGGACAGTTTGTCGAAAGCAAGATTTTAAAAAAGTTATTAAATATTGTCTGATGAGGTAAAATAAACTAAAAATTCTAAAACCACTGACCTTTTTTCTTGTGTTGTTACGAATGCACAACAATTTCGAAATAAATACAGAATGGCCCCTGAAAGCTCATGTGCATTAATCGACAAAAATAAAAATGAATAAAATTTTCGCCATACTTTTAGTTGTACTTTAGATTTACTTTGTTTTTTTTTCTTTGAATGCATTTTCATTTTAACTTGGGTCAATTTTTGCGCACTATAATAACCTTGGGCCACAGCTTGCGCCGTTAGCTGTGGCGACAAAAATGTCAGGAAAATCCCACTAGAACATCAAAACTTTATTGGGGGTTAATCAGAGGCACTTGAAATGGTGACAGTTTTGAGTTGGAATGTGATTGGTTCATTCTGAGCACAGCCACATCCTCATTTATAAGCAGGCCTACGCACTTGTGCAACCTCATTTGTTTGTTTTTATTTCTTCTCGCTAACTTATGTTTTATTTTGATCACATTAATGCTGGAAAAAGTTACCTTGGTCTCATCACAACACTGCATTTGAACAGGGGTTGTGTGCGAGTTTTTTGTCGTTTTTTTTTCTTTGCATCCGCGCGTTGATGTGATCGGCACCTACCTGACGTGGTTGTCGCAGAACTTGGTATGGTGAGAGACAGACAGGCAGATGAGGGTGGGTGGATGGAGGGTAACACACACACACACACACACGCACACACTCAAAAGACATTTACTGTAGGCTGAGTGTGTGTGTTGCCTTTCCATGCGCCTGTGGGACACCCTCCCACTCTTGCACCCCCCCCTCCCTCGTGCTAATAATGGATGTGCTGAGGGGTGCACAATAGGCAACAAACACACCGGGCCCACCTCCAGGAAGCAGCACATGGAGAACCCTGTCAAGTGACAAGCGGATGCAACAATCTCGCCCCCCCCCGCCCCCCCAGTCCCCCGGCCCCGCCTCGCACGCCATTGACTCAGCTGCAGACCTGGACGGACAAACGGACGGAACCAAAGCGACGGCTCTTCCAAGAAGGAAGTCCGGATGGATGTCAAGATGTCGGCCCCCTCCGACTCCGACGCCTCCCCATCAGGAAACTCTCCTGCTACTACTACAACGCGACTCAGTCCTACAATCGGAGGTGCCTCCTCCCTCCGGCGTGATGGCGAGCGGCGCGTTGTCGCCGCTGCTGTTGCTGCTGCCGACAGCCCGGATGACGAGAGGAAGCCATATGGAGTGGAGAGCCTCCGTGAGTGGGTGGGGAGAACGGGGAGGAGAAAGAGGAGGGGGGCAAACCCGGGGCTCCGCTTTCTTAAAGGGACAGTAGCACGCATGCGACTGGGGTCATGGTTTGATCCGCTGTCTGGCAATCTTTGATGCGTTAAGCCTTGGTTATAGTATTTCCGGATTTATTTATTTTTATTACATTTTATTTCATTTAGAATTTTATTTTATTTTTTAAATTTGATGAGTTTAAATAGTTTTTTTAAAGCAGTTTTTTTTTTTGCATAAATGCTTTGCTTTAATTTTTATTAGTTTTTGTATTAGTTTTAGGTTTTTGAACATATGGAGTATTCATCGAGTGGAAGATTTTAAAAAAAAAAAGGGTAATCAAATATTGTGTAATACTGTAATGTTACGTGAACAACAGTTTGGCAGTCCTTCTGCCGCAAGAACGTAGAGTAATACCTAAATAAATACATTTAATATGAACCCCAAAAGCTCATGTAAGGTATTAAGGCGAAAATGAGGGACAAAAACTCACTGAAAAATAATGAACGTCACTTACTAGTGGATTATCGCTATTGCCGGTCGGGTCCGGTCCCTCTCTTCAGCTACTGTCACCATACAGTGTAAGTAGCTCAAATTAATGCTTACAAGTCAAAGTTAAAACAAACAAACAATGGCTCGTATCTTGAAAAACACGGAACTTGTGTCACACGTATCTCAAGGTACGAGGATGTTTCATTATCATGATCAAGATGGAAAACATTGTCAATATTGCCAAGCACCATATCCAATAATCACATTCGATTTATGATTCGATACATTTAATTAGAGCTGTAGTGAATAATTTATTCAAATCAACATCGCAGTGTCGTCGAATAGAATTTTCACATTGCAAGCCGCGAGTTAACAACTAATGTAAGTCCATTAAATTGTTTTTCATATTTATTCATGCATCATTTGCTTTTATTTTAGCATAAGCCGAACATAACACCCAAGTCTGATATCCTTGAAAAAAAATCACCTCATATTCAACAGCAATTATGGAGGGTGGGAGGGTGCGGGTGGGGGGGCAATTAGATTAGTTTTCAAACTCACTCAGACCTAATTCCTCATGGGAGTCGGTCTGACTGCAACAGACTTCCTTGCGAGTGAACACAACAAGCCCTGCCTGGTGCTTCAATAATTTAGAAACTAATAAAGGCCGGGGCCTTGTCTGGCGGATTGAGTATCCCGCAGCACTCAAAGGCCTATTCTATTCGACACCGAGTGGTGAGCTTTCCGCACGGGTCAAAGTCCTTATCGGCCAAATGATAACAAATGTCTGTCTTATCTGTAGATCTGCGAGCAGGCTATTACCTGCGGGCCCGTAAGTCACAATGACAATCGCTCCACACTGCAAATCAGGATGAGCCGTTTGACCTCGAATGTACTGTACATGCCGCTTTTCCCGGTTGTCCACAAGTGACTTTCGTTACGCCTGCGCCATTCCCGATCAATAATGTTATTCTCCGGGAGCCCCACTTTGGCTCTGAGCAGATCAACGCTCGGGTTACTCAGCACCTCTTGATGGGATTAGAAGCCCGCTATAAGTTTTCACCAATAAAAAGGAAAAGCGGAGCGCGGCGGGGCCGGACGCACGGGTAAGAAGCGAGTCGAACACGCTTGTGGTAACCTTCAACCCGGAACTCGGAAAACAAAACGATACTGCGGCCTGACAGCCGTTTGGGAGCCATCTGCAAGTCGATTGGGACCATTTGGCGTCGCGCACAATCACGTCGCACACATATGAGAGACACCCTGAGATTTTACCAAGCAGATGCTTTCTTCAATAGCCTGCTGGAGGCATTAGCATAACGGCTAATGACAAGCCAGAGATGGTTGCTAAATAAACAGCCCATTACAGTCCATTACACAGCAGTTTTTTTGCAACGAAGCAATTTGAAAGACCGATTCCGTGAGTGATGATATAATCCAGTACGACAGCGCTGGGACTTTTAGCTTTACATTTCATTAGCCTAATAGCTTCATTAGCCTAATAGCATAAGTCTCATTTTGAAATGAGTGTGAGTAACAGTTTGGCGTATCGCTGCGCCTCACGGATGTTCATGTCGCTGGTTCTTGAGAATCGAATAAGCTGTCAATGAATTGACAAAACAAATCATACTTTGTTGTCACTTCTTTTGTTTACTCATAAAAGGTGCTTGTTTGTGGCTGTATGAAAAAAAATGCTGCCAAAACGGCTAGTAAAGGTTTTACCGTAACAACGCTAACGCCGCACTTTGAACCAAAACTGATTTATTAATTTTCTTTTTTTTTTTTTTTTTTTTTGCTCTGGACTAAAAAGGAGGACGTCAAGAGCAGAAGTGAGAAAATAAAAAACATTACCAACAGAATGTCGTCGGCCCAGTCGACCGCTAAGTCCCATGTCGCTCCTCGGCGAGAGCCCCCGAGCCCCTTTTTATCCGCTATATGCAGGTTCTGCTCGACCCGGTCTCCCACCTTGCCGCCGGGTCCATTTCCCACGCTGTCACGGATCAGCAGGGAGCGGAGAGGCCAAAAAGCCTCTTACGGGGCCGAACGATACAGTGCGGGCATGCTAATCCTCGCTATGTCTGCGCTGCAACTTCACCTGCCGGCTAAGCCAAGACACGCTCGTAATCCTACACGTGAGACACACGTAACCGCAAACGTACCGGTTGGAAATCACATCAAGTGCATTCGTTCTATGAGAAACGATTCATCGAATGACTCAAATGATTCGACTAGAAAAAGTGATCGTTTGTCCGCAGGGACTACTGCTTTGAAACATGTTGGAGCGACGGCTTTTTTTTTTTTTTCTGACAAAAATAGTGGAACAATACATGAATGAAGTTACATTTGTTTGACAAAAAAAATGGCATAATGTTATGAGAATAAAGTGGAATGTTTTGAATTGAAAAAAATTTGCAGATAATGAGAACGAGAAGTTTTTATGTAGGTTTTTTTTTCCCCATGGAAAAGAAAAACATAATGCAGTCAGAATAATGTCAAAATTTTAAAAGAACATGGTGAATTTATTTTGGGGGGAAAAAAAATCATTACAAAGCAATGACGAGTGACAATTTTTCCCAAAGAATGGCGCAATTTTTTTTCAATAAAACTACGGAATGACACAAAAATAAATTAACAATTATTTTACAAATATGGCGTCATTTTATGAGATTCATGATGTACAACAGCATATTTTTTTATGCGATTAAAAGCTTTTTTTTTTAATCGCAATTTTTTTCCTCCAAAAATATGTTCCTGTTCTTGTAATTAATGCCTGTGTAGGCGTTGAATTTTTGTTGTGTAACGTTGTGTAACGGATTATTTTTCATCACAATTTTTGTTTTCTTTGAAAGAGAATACGTCTTTTTTTTTTCTCGTCATTTATGCTTGAGCAGCCGTTGGGACTGTTTCACCACAATTGTACACACACCTTCGCTCGTGTTTTTTTTTTTTTTGCATCTTTGTTAATAATAAACAAATGAAATAAATCATGCAAGGTTGGGACATGCACATGTACAAGCGCTTTGCCAGGCATGTCCAGCCATGACATGCATGTGTTGTGTGTTGCATAGCATGCAAGGGCTTTCCGGTAAATGTTTGTCAAATGCATCCCCACTCGCTCGTCAGTCTTCAGCTCGCTGCCTACATTGTACCGATGAAACGTTCACATCCCTAATGATAACCGTGAGAACATTTCAGATCGAATATTTATCTGTTTTCATCGAGATGTGACCTTGTCACAACGGTTCCTTCTTTCTCCCCAAATAAGCACATGCAGTGGGAGGGTTCGAATCCGGCATTCATCACTCCAGGCCCCGAGTAGCTACACTTTACTCAATCCCTTGGCGCTCACTTTTTTGCCACCAAACGGAACACTTTAGTCACCGTTAGTTTCAGCTCTCGAGGGCTGGGTGGGGGCGGGGGGGTTAGCCGAGGGGAGGAGTCTCGTGACATCTATTCCTGGCATACATGCACCTTTGCGAATGCCGTCTGGTCCTGCATCACTCACTTTTGTCAAACCTGTCTGGCGGGCGGGGGCGCGCACCCCGGCTGGGGTCCTTAGGCTCGGAACCGTCCTGCCTAATGGTGGTCAACACTAACTGCTCTGTGGGCCGCGGGCGGTGGGGGGGCGGGAGAGAACAACACACAACAACAAGACAACATGTAAATATACTAAGGCTGAACAATTCATGGACTTGAAATCGACCTTGCAATGGAGGAGAATGTAGTTTCCAAGTCGCAAAGACTGCGACTCTTACACGTCGATAAATGTGTCTCTCATATTAACCCTTTGACGGACAGCGGTTACTACAGTGGACAGCTTATCATGTTAGCAGGTTACAGGGTGCATGAAGGGGTTAATTGATATCTTAACGCAACGCCAAACATTTATATATCATAAATATAATATTATTTATTCTACTCAAGATTCATTTATCGCTTGTTAAAAAATTCAGGACGTTGGTAAAAAAAATAAAAATAAATCACATGTTAAATCGCATTCACACTCTTGAGGGAATTTTTCCAATTTTTTTTTTCAAAATTCTTTCAGCCCTAAAATATGCACACACGAAGAGCACACATTTGTATCACCTTACATGTGTGAGGAAATGGAAGGCGTGCAAGACGATGGGCAGTCATTTATTTATAACACAGCAGCGCCCCCTGTTGTCCAGAACTCCTAAGTACCTCAAAGCCTCACTCTTACATTATCTCAGCAGCACACATTGACAGTTGGGCGCACTGCATATCACTCACAGGAGCGCCATTCGCTCACAATAACATGCATTAATGAATTAGCCTCCATGCTAACAAACAGAGAAATAAATGCCCGCTTTCCCCTAACATACTAAGACATCTCATGACCCACTGAATGACGTAACCACAATTCACACACACACACACACACACACACACACACACACACACACACACACACACATGCTTGCGCAGATGTGGTATCTGGAAAGCTGACATTTCCACTGGATATAAAAAGTCTACACACCCCTGCTCAAACGGAGGGGTTTTGCGGTATAAAAGAAAGATGAAGATGAATTATTTCTTTTTGAGATGATTAAAAAAAAATGCAGTTGCAAAAGTGTGCACACCCTCTTATAGCTGAGGACGTGACTGCGTTCAGATTCAACTAATCACATTCAAGATCATGTTAAATGGGAGTCAGCACACACCTGAACCCAATTAAAGTATTACCATAAAATAAAGTTCAGAAGTTCTAGTAGGCTTTTCCTGACCTTTTTGTTTTGTCTTTCTAGCATAAGCCAGAATAGTTTGGACTAACATTGATACATTTTTGTGGAGGGAGGGGGGGAACCTGAAGAACAGTGTTACATTTAAAAATAAAATAGCATTTAATATATAGTTTTTTTTTCAAGGAGAATAATGGCATCATGTTACGAGATGAAATATATTTTATTCTACAAAAAAAGTATTCACAACTGTGAGGAAAAAAGCCACAACATAACAGAATGAAGTTTTTTCAAGAGATTATGTCTTAACGTTAGGAGAAAAAAAACTGAAATATCTTAAAAATACAGAATTTAATGGGTCGAAACGTAACAGCTTGGTAACCGTGTGTGTCATGACCAATGTTGTGTCGCTAATTGGAGCAAAGAATCAAGATCAAGAGCTCACACTCCACGAGATTACAGCATGGAGCCCATACGGGATAGATACACCCATGTGCGCACGCGCCCGACTTTGTACTTTCGTCATGCTCGTTTCGAGTGTTTCATTCCATGACTAATGATTTATCTCTTACTCATTTGACCTTTGTATTCGTGGAAGCGGCAAAAGCGCACACATACACACACATACACACACAGACACACACTCACACACAGGCAACAAGAGCATAGCAGCAGCCTGACAATATGTGCCGATGACTATTACAATAAAAGACAAACACATTCTACTCTCTTCGAGGACATTCCACTGCTCTCGGTGCAGTGTGTGTGTGTGTCTGTGTGTGTGTGTGTGTGTGTGTATGTGTGTGTGTGTGTGTGTGTGTGTTATTCACTGACATACTTTCTTTATGCCTTAGATAATTATATGATCATTGCTATATTTTGAAGGGGGGGAGGCTCAAGTCATTTTTTTCATCAATTTTCCCCTTATTAGATTAGATTAGATTAGATTAGATTAGATTAGATTAGATATCCTTTATTTGTCCCACACTGGGGAAATTTACAGCCTTCAGCAGCAAGATTGTGGGTAGAAAGAAGAGAAAAGAAAACACAGTTCAATTAAGTGCAATATAAATACAAACATGGATAAGGTCAATAATTAAGTGCAATATAATACAATAGTCACAGTACTATTCACATATCTGGCTGCAACTACCTATTATTTAAATAATGGATTCATCTGTTGATTATTCTTCCAAATCATCAACGAATCGGTTTGAGAAAAAAAAAGGTTTTCATTAAATTTCCATCCTTGTGTTGACAGGAGATTATTTCAAATTGACTGCAGAAAATGCACACAAATAAATTGATTATTGATTCAGTTTGGTCGGAGACGTGTCAGACAATCAGCATAAATGTTGATTGATGTTTTCCAAGGTAAAAGGTAGCGTTTGCAAACGTCTTACTTTTGTTCAACACAAAGATAATCAGTCTGCTTTCGTGAAGGACTTGGGGCTGAAATGTCAAGGTTTAGCATCACTGCATTCTCCCGGCGTCGTATGTCGGGTCTGCCGTAAAGCGAGGCCTCCCGTTCCGCTTACCAGGTCGCGCGCGCTTCGGGCGGTCACGTGACCGTTAAATCGGCTTGTTAGTAGGCTCGTCGTCCAGCTGGTGCACAAAAAAATCTTTGGCTCCCAAGGAACACAAAAGCGCTTCCATAACTCGGCCTGCCAAACGACGCCCAGTACGAAAGCGCACCCAAATAGCGGACGCAAACACACGCCTCTAACGGACAAGCCGCGACAGCGACATCACGACCCTCGTCTGAGGGACGGACGAGGCGACGTTTGCGTTGTTCTCACATTCACGGTCAACACACGCGCACAGCCGCATAGTATCGACCAACCATTCACGTCAGTGAGCAATTCATTCTTGTAACGCTGATAAAACGCCACACAAGCCGCCGTTGGTCTTTTACTGTTCGTTCTTACCTCCCTCGCTGTGGATCTTCTTTGCCCCCCGGTTGAAGTACATCGTGCCTGTGGAGGAGGAGGTGATGGTGACAGTGGAAGGAGCAACGGGGACATGCTCGCTTACGGCTCGCCCACAGCGGAGTCGAGGCGAAGGCGAGTCGAAGCTCCCAGCCGCGGCCGCTGGTACCGCTGACGACCGAGGACCATGTTCGCTCTGACCGCTTCACTGGTCCAGGAACTAGGAGAAGAAACAAGTAATATGTTAGTTAGTTCCGTCGGGTAGTTTTGTCTATCAAAATAAGACGCTACAAACTCATACGAATAAGGTAATATATTCCTTCTAACTGTCTTTTTTCCCCATCTTATTCGTCGTGGTTACTATTTATAATACGCAGCTTTACACAACTCTTATGATTTAAAAGACACAAACCAAAGATACATGTATCTAGCTTTTTATGTTGAAGAGGAAAGAACGACGGATACTTCTTTTCTATCGAGCTTTACTAAGCACTTGCGTCTTTTCAAGCGAATTCTCATCCGTGACACTACTGGTGCATGCTAATGGGTTTCTCGTTCCGCTAGCAAGTGACTGATTTCGAAATACAACGCCGTAGTCGGACAAGATTGTGTGGTCACGCTAACGCTCGTTGAGACATATCATTTCTAGTGAAATTCTTTATAAAACTTACATTTTGACAAAGTCACGAAGTTAAGGACAGAAGCGAAAGCCATACGGGTTTGTTTATTTCGGTGTGGGAAATTACAACTTTTTTCTGTCGCAGTGTTAACACTGGCGTCTTTCCACACGAATCCATCTGTAACGTCAAAAAATGTTAATCGGTTAGGTAGTTCCGCTCCAGCTGGAGATAATAAAACGCTAGAATCTCACAATTAGGCTCATTCGCTCCATCAAACGCTCTTTTCTTTAACGTACGTCTTGTGTCAAGTTTGTGGTAAAAGGTATATTTGCACAGTGGTTATGAATTAAAGGGCAGAATCGACAGATAAATGCAAAGATTTTAATTTGAAGGAAAGAAAAATGACGTCGACCGCTTTTCCGTCACGGTTTACGCTATTGTGGCGTCCTTCCACGCAAATGCACATCTGCGTACCGTGTCAACAAACTCAGCACTTTCACACAGGAACGAGGAAATAAAAGCTTATAAAGAGTGTAATAACGGTTACAATCGCTTACACACACATGGCGAGCACACAAACGCGTCACCGAGCATAACAAAGCTGCGTTTTATTGTGTTGTCAAGGAGCAGAGCTTGAACCCGTCCACTGCCCACATAGTAGCGTGCACATAGGAACAAAAATCATACCATTTGAGTGTTTATTTACTGTCATCACATGGCAACATGATACACACATTCGTGGTTTCAAAAAGTTCAGATTTCCCCATCTCATTAAATAGAAACGGAATAAATATTGACTCGTGACATGAGGAGCCTCTGCCAGGTCTGAAGAAAGGGGTATTCCTTCATTTGCACACAATTTGACATAGCTCATGAAGCATGATTGTGATCATAATTCTACTTTTTTTGCTGTAATCTGTATGTATTGCACAGCTAAATGACAACTCTCAATTCCTGCCTTCTGCATGTGAAATCATCGGAAAGCAACTGGCTTTTATTGCGATGGCGTTGGGGCAACTTGACAAATCATAAATAATGAACCTAGATGAATACAAACTTTATTACAAATTAAATACTGAAACTCAAATACATTTCTGCCTTAACTTACAAGTTTAATTCATATTGTGATAGCGCCTATGGCATGTGTCTCAAATGCTGAGCAAAAAAAAAGTTGGCGCACTCCAGGTACCACCATACTCAATGTTATTAGCGCAACTATAAGGGAAGAATTTTAAAATTGCATGAAAAAGCCAATTATCAACCTGAACCGTGGTCAGATATTTACAGCGGACAAATCAAATTAAAAAGTCCTTTCTGATCAGGGAAGACGTCTTAATGGTGTCAGACTATGTATGAGCAGGGGCTAACAAAAGTTCCAACAAGATACAGAGAAGGGAACTGAAATCAACAAGCCTAAAAAAATAAACTTTATTAAATCTCTGAATTTATGCCTATTTCCCACCCCTTCTCCTGAACTTTTGCTTCCACCTTCTTCCCTACCGACTTCCTCACAGAAATGAACGAATATATGTACAGGCGGCTGCTCGGCAGTGGAGGAGAAGCCAAAGCGGGTCAGTCATGTTGCGTAGCAAGTATGGGCTGCCTGCAGATGGGGCAGGTGTTGTTCTCCGACAGCCAGCGATCAATGCAGTGGATGTGGAACTCGTGTGCGCATGGCAGGCGCCGCAGCTTGTTGCCCTGCGCGTACTCATTGATGCAGACGCTGCACGCCCGGCCCGCCTCGCCCTCCAGGCTGGCTTGGCCGTACGAGCGTGTGGCCAAATTGTCTATCTGCTCTTTGGTGAGGCCGCGCGGGTGCTCGTCGTCGTCCTCGTCGTTCAGCAGGAAGAACTGCGCCAACCGCAGGATGGGCAGGGTGCCGTTCTCCACCAGGTTGTTTGTGTCCCGGCTGGTGGGCGGCGGCCGCACTTCCGTGGAGCTCGCCGGACCGCCGCTGAGCCTAGCCTGGCCGACCGGCCCATCCTCGCCACCGGCCGGACTCACTCGCTCTTGTTCCTGACCGTCCGAGCCCGGCTGTACCGGTGCGCTCTCATTGACATACAAACGAGCCGCTGGGCCGGTGCTTGTATTCGTAACGCCGACGTCCACGTGGCTGGGGCTCTCGGAATCGGCCTCCGTTTCCATGAGGGAGCTGAGCTCCCCGAAGCCGGTCATGATCTGGCGCAGGATGGAGCGCAGCGCAGTGGAGTTGGGCTCGCCCAGGCCTGTCTCGCTGATGCGCCGCAACGGGATCCGAATTGTGCTGACATAGGTGCGGATTCCGGCGCGCTCCGAGCGCGAGATGGTACGCCGGAAGCCGCCGCTGTCGCTCTCAAAGGTGACGGTGTTCTCAGCCACACGGGCCCGGGAGCGTGTCCTGCTGGCGATGCTGTCACGGTCCCGGTTTTCCCCAGGTCGGATCCGCCTTACCTGCAGGTCCAGCATGATGGTGGGGTGGCGGCGAACTGAGGACGAGCCTCCTGCACTGGCTGAATGCGATTCGTTCTCGACGCTGTCGGCGGTCTGCTCCACTGTGGTGGTGGCGGCTGGTTCCGCCGCAACCTCCCCCGTCTCCATGGGAACCGAGCTTGTGCCCGCATCGACGATGTGGATGCTCGAGCCGCTGATGGTGCTGCTGGACGCTGGCATGCTCACGGCGCTTCTGTGCAAAGGGGAACGACTTCGTCTGGATGCGCGTGCCGGGACGCCGCCGTTCCACGTGGCCGCCACCCGGCGCCAACGTCCGCGCGAACGAGTCCGGCGCGCTTCCTGCCCTGCCGCTGCCGTCTGGGACCCCGGCTGGGGCGACACGCGCGGACAGTCGAGAGATAATGTCACATTGTCACGGCTTCGCTCCGGTTCTGCATTGGCGGGCAGATGTGGGGTAGATGCCGACTCGTCCGAATGAGAAACAGTGGGCGGCGGTACTACAGAGTGCAAGGCGTCTCCTCTCCTTTGAGGAGGAGACGCAAAAGGGGCTGAAAGTGCAGGGGGGGTCATGGAGAGGGCACTGCTACTGGTGCTGCGCGTGCGCCGAGTCTGCATCCTCCTGCTGAGGGCTGGTCGAGGCATGGGGTAAGGAGACGACCGGGGCACGCCGGACAGCCGTGCTCCGGCCGAAGAAGCGGCACGGCGCAGCGGCGAGGTCGAACCCGAGGCGGCGTCTGCAACAGGCTGCTCGGCCGTGTCCATAGTGTCGGCGTGCTCCCCCGCCTCGGGCTGGTCGTGGTTGATGTTGATCTCCAGGCTGAAGCGGAACTCGCCGCTGTTGGGGTTTGTCCGGCTGACGGCGCGCCACGTCTGGTTGCCGCTCTGCCCGCTGCGGGTAGCGTTCCCGGTGCGCCGGAATGTGTTCAACCACTCCAGCAACGAGTCTCCGTTGGATGCTTCTGCCCCAGGCTCTACGCCGCCTGGAAAGAAAGCATGCGGATGACTTCCGTGTTGATTGAGCGCCCCAATTTCACAGATGAAAAGAAAAACATAAGGGAGTGGAAAAAACAACCCAAGACCGAGCTACTCTCAGGGGAGCACAGAATGGCTTCGAAAAAAAACGAAGCAAAAGAGACATTTATACACGACACAAACTAACACATGCGGAGGTGGGGTGGGGAGTGTTGGGGGGAACATGACAGCCCTCCTGTGGAGGGCAAGCTTTGTTGGGGCGCCACCACTTCCAATTTGCTAATTCTGGGCAAAAGGCAGGGAACACCCTGGACTGGTTAATCATAAATCCCGATGGGAAATTTTGTATTAAAACCCAAAACAAAATTGGAGGTCATCCTACCAGCCCCTCGTCTCCCACCGGACCCTCTCTCCTCAGCGCTACCGCCCTGCTGATCCACCGTCTCAGCGGCCGGCAAGCGCTGCTCGGTGCTTGGCTGAGATGACTCGCGCTCCTTGGCTCCATCCAAACGTTGCTGGAGCTCTTCGGCGGTCACCTCCCCTGTGTGATGGTGGTGACAGGTTCCAGTTACATACTTTTCGAAACAATGGCAACAAAGTTGAAAAATTGATCCCATGTTTGCTAACTGTAGGGCTGCTTGAGCCAATTCAATAGATACTACTTCCAAAAAGGCCGCGTAAATGGCAATTTTAGCTGCACCAGGAAACCATGGTCCATTCATGCATCAAACATCATTTATGTCCTTCAGCTCCTGGTTAGGAAAAAGCAAGTTGTCCAAAATACTGAAACATTGGACAAAACTTTAATTTCGCCTGTACAGGTTAGTGCCCAACACCACCAGTTTTCGCCGTTTACTGCAAATAATACATTAAATCTAAGCGTCCCTCCTCACCGGGGGTCCCCAACAGGTTGCTGTCTCTCATAAGACGATATTCCTCTTCGCTGAGGTCATTAATAAAATGATAGTAGGCCTCCTCCCTCCGAAGACGCTCGGCCTGTCTCCGACGCTCGTCTCCCCCACCAGGAGGGTCCATAACCATGAACAGTGCTGGCAATCACAAGAAAGCATTGTCATTTATTTCCCCTTCACCCACGCCAGTTAGTTAATTGACATCACCGCCCAGTAAACCAATAAACCAGATTGCCTTAACTTATAAACAGCTACATTGTCAGCGTCATCCATTTTGCATCGAAACACCCACTGACGAAAACCGACAGTTAACGTGCTTAGCCCGAAGTCCGGCTGCGTGCACATCATTGACCCGCAAAATAGTCTTTAAAGGACCCCCCTCGCGTCGAGGTATTCGTCGCAGCGCTAATATTGCCCAAGTTTTTTTTTTCCTGACAGAAGCTACGGAAGGCCACGTTGAAGACAGGGGCGATAAAGCAAGCTAAAGCGGCGCTGTCCTCCCTGCGGTAGCAGCCAATCGACGGCTCGCTGGGGATGAGTGACAGGCCGAGTGTCCAATCGTCGCCGCGAGGAGGTGGAACGACAAGCAAAGGACAGGGTATCCATGTAAACGAAGGCAAAGACAAAAGAATGTTCTTTTTTTCGCAAGTGTGACAAATAAGGCGGTGACGGCGAAGCGTGTGTGACCACCGAATGTAGCACTAGTTGGGCGTACACCATAAGGACACAAAGAAACATTTGCAATGCGCAATGCCTCAGTGGCTAGCGGTGCCCAGCTAGTTAGCGCAAGTAACGATAGCGAATAGCAACCCGAACACACAACATTAGCTTCGTTAGCCGACCCGAAGATGAATAATATTACCCGATACACATCGGATGAACAGTTGCGCTATCAAGTCAACGTGTGAGATCGATAACACCGAGCACCGGTGTGAATTTAGGTGAGATGACAACGACGTAAAATGGCATAGTACCCGATAGAGCAGCTGTAATATGGACGGTTCCCGTCGATTTCCCTTGTCTCTACCCAAGATGGGACCAGGTGGTGTTACGGCCTATACGGTCCGTGTTATAACAGGCAAGTCGTTTCGACTTGGTTGGTTCCTCTGTTACCAAAACATCGGTTTTGTAATGAAACAAATTAAAACGTAACGAATATAAAGGCACCCGTCCGAATTTAAAGTCTCATAATTTTACTCAGGTGCTAACAGACCGATTTTTAAAGACAGACCTGTTGGCTTTGCTCCATTTCAGGTAAAGTACAGCCGTCGACGCTGTCGTACTTTTTTAAACTGTATATTTCGTGTTTGTGTTAAAAAAAAAAAGCGTAAATTTAGGGCAAACAACATACGGGATTTGGGGGGGGACACCTCGAAACATAATTAAAACACACACACACACACACACACACACACACGAAATACGTAGTGTTACGTCAAATAGAGTCGTGTGAAAACACTCGAACGTGAGACATCAGGTTCCCATGTCATAAAAAAACTGACTTTGCTGTAAAACAGCAATAAATGTTGTGAGAGAGTGCCATGAAAAAGTCTCTCGTCGAAATTTAAAGTGTCATTCTTTAATTAGGATGCAAAACGCTCGACAAATCATTTAAATATGTCATCTATTATTATCAAAGTCGTGAACTTTCTCTGCCGTTTTTGATTTAGTCTTTTTTATGTATGTGATTCGTGTTTTTTTACTTTTATGCACTTGTACATTTTTTGCGCATTTGAACGTATACGACGAACGTCACGTGTCTTTTGTGCCAAACTAAGACGAAACACGACAACTTAAGCCAATATGAAATGTGTGAGTTTTACTAGTACCGCTTTATTTGCACAATAACGACGTCCTTAACTTACATAATGGCAATGTTCTGTTTTCGAACATCCCTTTCCTCTACTTTGTCTAATGCAGGGGCTCCGGCTGTCTCTTACGACATTTTACGACAGTGCCGGGCGTGAATACGACGTCGTTACCGAGTAAAGTGCGTCTCTTTGGAGCAGATACCGGCTGAGGGGGACGCAGCATCAAAAGACAAGGAATATACTTCTATGCCCGCTTTCCCACCCGGACAATCCGAGCACAGCACGTTCTTGCCCGCAAAACGAATTAGCCCGGATAGCTCGATGTGGACGCTGGGCTGAGTGAAGAAAGGGCCACGCCGGGAAGGCAACTCGCTGATTAACCGAAGCTGAGCTCGTCGGGAGTAGCCTAGTTGCCTCCTAAAGCGACGCTTACCAAAAAAAAAAAAAAGAAAAAAGGGGGGGAAACGAAGAAGAAAGGGGACGACGCGTTTGAGGCCCAAAGCAGCGGTGGGAAAAATGGACTATGATTTCAAAGTGAAGCTGACCGGAGAGCGAGAGCGTGTCGAGGACCTGTTTGAGTACGAAGGATGCAAAGTGGGCAGAGGCACATACGGTCATGTTTTCAAGGCGAAGAGAAAAGATGGGTGAGTACAGGAGGGACTCTAGGTAAGCGAGGCCTCCGTGCGGGTCGAACCCATCGATCGACGCCTTATTCTGGGCGTCGTTGGGTGTTTTATTTTTTATTTTCTGCGGAAAGAGTAGGGGAAAGAATTGTGGCTGTGAACACGCACCACGTAATGATTAAGAAACACTGAAGTGCGTGTCATTTGAACCCATTTTCAAGAGGCAACCCTACCCTCACATTTTCAACTTTTGCACATATTACAAAAGACATGCATTTTTTTCTCAATTCAAAACCATTACCAGGCGTCTTACTAATGTGTCTTTTGACATGCTTTTGTCAAAATATGCCCACTATTCACACCCAATACTGCTGGGCTAATCTTTTGTCCAGCTTTAGTTACTATAAAGACCGGTGTTGTCATGACAACAAGTGCCACAACGATTATTCAAATAACTCGAGCAACTCGATTAGTTTAACGCACACTCAAGACGCGCACGGCAGCCAGCCAACTCTACACTCTCATTCGCTGACAACCACATCACTCACCAGGCTAGGCTCTGCCTTTTAAAGCCATACACACTCAAAAGTCACAAATGCTAAAGTAAAACGTGAGGTTGCCAGGCAAAATAATACCTGCGTTTCACATGCAGGTGCTCGTTTCATAATGCAAAATGTATTTTATCTGATTACTCCATTAAGCAATGTAGAATGCGCAATTCTAAAAATGTTAAAACACTGCAGCCCCGACGACTACAATGGCCTCTACTTGCAACTATTTGATCTTTGCCGATTCTAACTGGTAATGTTATGGATGGAGAAACTCGGTGGGGCATTTATTATGTAAATTAGCCCCTGAATATGTCCATACATAACATCGTTTTAGAGCAATACTATTACAATGCCGTGGAGCCGAGAAAATGACATCAGAATTTTAAGGGAGAAGACATGGTAACCAGCCACTGTGCTCATAGAGTATTTAAAGGTCCATTTGAGAAATGGCGTGCGAACGTTTAGTCTTCAGCTGCATTCAAATTGTCACGTGATCTGTGCTGCAGTTTGCCTTGCAATTCTGGCACAAATGAGCACTAAAAAGCGTTTTAGAGATGTTTGCGTTGGATTAGGGAAGGCTGCTGTTTATGAGGGGCGAGGCACAAAGCACGAGTTTATATGGGACGAGGGGAGGGGGCGACGTGCCAATTCATTCAAGTGAGGAGTCGGTCCCGCCGCTCTTGTTTTGTCCCCCGCCAGCTGCCAGACAGACCTCGTCCTCTATTGTAGCCCGGCCTCAGAGGTGAGCTTGATTACACAACTCTGGAGGTGATGCAAGTCAGTGGGGGGTGGGGCCCATCTTGTGCCAGATGCCAAGTGAACGCAACCGCACTCTCACCCTTACCCTCGTTATGGTCCATGGTCTGACGTGGATGTTGCTCAGCCTCTTGTATGCTCATAGGAAGGACGACAAGGACTACGCCCTCAAGCAGATTGAAGGCACCGGCATCTCCATGTCAGCCTGCAGAGAGATTGCAGTAAGACTTTTTTTTTTTTTTGCTTGTGACTGTGATGTGTTAACAGCTTCACACCATTCCAAAGTTGTTTTGTAATACAGCAAAATCTCTAAAGTCTAATAAAAGTCCATTCTGGAACAACACTCCCCCCACCCCCACACAAAATAATGGACATTGAATTCTTCTGTTCCAGGACAAACTGTATTAAATAGAGATTAGGGATATAGATTATTTTATTATTTTTTTTAGGTCAATTGGATATTTGGCAGAATAAAACGAAAACATTTCCGTATAGCCAATATGATATTCTGCATCGTAATACAGATAATTTATCACTTGTGCTTGTTCAAAAATAAATGAGAAGAGGACCTTGAAAAAAATAAAATGACAATCGCAATATTGAAGAGGAAAAAAAAAATCACAATTAGATGCTTTTTTTCCCCCAAAAAAATCGTTCCGCCCTATGCACAGCTACATCCCATTTTATTCACAAACTTCAGTCCGTAGCGCAGAGAGAAAAATGATCAGCGCTATGAGAGAAGATAAATGGCTTCCCCTAGTCAAGAGAAAGCCCATTTAATTTACAGCATGTCATCACATTCATGACATGTCATCATAACGGCAAAAATGGCCATTATGGATGGATCCTTCGCTTCCATCGTCTGAGCTGTCTTCTGTCTTTTGCAGCTGCTGCGAGAACTCAAGCACCCCAACGTCATCTCGCTGCAGAAGGTTTTCCTGTCACACGCCGACCGGAAAGTGTGGCTGCTCTTCGACTACGCAGAGCACGACCTCTGGGTAAGTTGTGCCCGACTTAGGATCGATTCGCACATGCGGGTCAAGGTGCTCAATTCCGATTTAATACCTGTAAGCGGGTCCCTATACATTCATTCACCTATTATTTTTGTTTTTCGTAAAATGTCACGAAATGGTGTCTTGCCAAATAGGAAATGACCTTTTTACCATGCGTCAACAGGGTAGGGGGGGCGGGGAGGGGTTATATACTATATATGTATATATACGTACATTTGATAAATGCATGAGTGGTCCTGGCTGACTCTTTAATTTTGCCTTACTGCAGCACATCATTAAGTTCCACAGAGCGTCCAAGGCCAACAAGAAACCACTTCAGCTTCCCAGAGGGATGGTCAAGTCTCTGCTCTACCAGATCCTGGACGGCATCCATTACCTCCACGCAAACTGGGTCCTCCACAGAGACCTTGTAAGCCGATTGAAAGGGGGCAGGGATATTTTGGGGAAGCGAAAACAAGGCAGAGTTCAAGCATCACTTCTGTCTCGCATGTGATTAGTCACGGTGCATAAATAACTGTTGTTGTTTTGAGCGGGGTGTTTATTTTCAACTACTACATTGGATTTATCTTCATCCTGTACAAATGTGATCGTTTATCATGCCGTGTTGTTATTGTAAAAGCGTTTAAAAATACCTCCAAGTAGGCTAATCTTGTCAAGGGATTTACATGAAACCCTTTCATCTATGGCTGCTGTGGTTTCATTTGTCCACTAGGGGGAAGCAACGAAAACTTTGTGATAATTGTTTTCCCCTCCTCAGAAACCAGCAAACATTTTAGTGATGGGGGAAGGGCCAGAGAGGGGTAGAGTAAAGATAGGTATGTATGCATTTTTTTGCGGGGGGGGGGGGTGGATTTTACATGATCTGTCTGTTATTGCTTCACTCACGGTCGTCTCTGTTGTGCAGCTGACATGGGTTTCGCACGTCTCTTCAATTCACCACTGAAGCCTTTAGCCGATCTCGACCCGGTGGTCGTCACATTCTGGTACAGAGCACCCGAACTGTTGCTGGGGGCCCGACATTACACCAAAGCAATCGGTGGGTTGGCGGCCTCCCCCCCCCGTGCTAAGCGTCTTCAGTGAAAGTTCTCTGAACTCCACATGTTTGTCTTGCAGACATTTGGGCGATAGGCTGCATCTTCGCCGAGCTGCTGACATCCGAGCCCATATTCCACTGTCGGCAGGAGGACATCAAGACCAGTAACCCTTATCATCACGATCAGCTGGACCGCATTTTCAATGTCATGGGCTTCCCCGCTGGTGAGACACCACCGGCCAAATAATTTGTTCGTTTCTCTCTTTCTTTCTGTGTGTATGACTAGAAGTTTAATGTTGTGCGTGACCTTGGCCCTATCTTTTCCTTTAAAGTGGAGCTACTGTACATGTCAAAACTTTTTCACAAAAGTCAGTGTATAAAAAAAATTCCCAGCAGACAAGAGATAAATGAAATAATGTTACTCATCATAATTATAATATTCAATCTTGTGTAGATTGCCACAAGATGGCAGAAAAGCACTTTTAAACACACAGGATCATAAAGCATCAACACCATGCTTCTAGCCTGTACAAGGATGTGACCCTATGTTCCATAAACAACTGTGTTCATTTATTTAATTTTCAACGAGCCGAAATAACACACGAGCACAAAGTGATTCATAAAACAATTTGTGCAGTAGCACTTTACGCAAATGATGTCAAGTTAGCAACTTTCGGCATTTACTCAAAAATAACCAACGTCAACCAATTGTCATAATCATGAAGTAAGATTTACATCCATGAATCAGTTGCGTCAATTGACAAGCAAAGTTGTGTGTCAATACTAAACATTTTGTTGGATTCTAATTTCGGGCCAAAAAGTAGATTTTTTTCCTAGCTTTTTCCGCTGGCAGTAACGTGCTTTTGTGAGTGTACAAGTCACAAACATAGGAATGTCCACTTAAAGCGGGATCTCTTTCAGTTCAGTGAACCTGCCTGCCTACTCTTGTTGCGTAGTTCACCTCTTGGCATGAAGGATTTTGTTTTCCTCCTGTCGGGGTTTCGAAAGGTTTCACCAAATTGCATTTGGGTGAGTGTCAAACCAAAGCATTTACACCGCAGGTCCAAGTGTCCAATTCTGATATCATTCTTTGCACTTTTCCGTTGATGTTGCCTTGACGCTCATCCAAATTGTTTCCTCCCAAAAATCTGAATGGTGTCACTTCAGACACGCATTTTAAATCCAGCCTGGGATGGTAATCCAAAATGGACAAGATGGATAACCAAGTAAGGGAGAAAGTGGTGGGTTAGACATGTTGTAATCCTTCCTTCATCTGACAGATAAAGACTGGGAGGACATCAAAAAGATGCCCGAACACTCCACGTTGATGAAAGACTTTAGGAGGAACACGTAAGTCTGCCAAGCTTGTCCCCCATGTCAATGTCGAGAACGTTTTCATACATTCACCGTGCTCGTTCCGCTTTCGCAGGTACACAAACTGCAGCCTTATAAAGTACATGGAGAAACACAAAGTCAAGCCAGACAGCAAAGCGTTCCATTTGGTAAGCGGCGACGAGCACAAAAGGTTCCCGAATCGTCGCCTGAGATGTCCCAGCCAAATGTTTACGTTGCGATGCGATTTGACAGTTGCAGAAGCTACTGACCATGGACCCCATCCGGAGAATCACGTCGGAGCAGGCCATGCAAGACGCGTACTTTTTAGAAGAGCCGCTGCCCACGTCCGAGTAAGTTTCAGCTCCACCGACAATCATTTGATGCTACCAGAAGGAATCTCAAATCATGAAAAATGCGTGGTGGTGTTTTTTCTTCAGTGTGTTTGCAGGCTGTCAAATTCCTTACCCTAAGAGGGAATTTCTGACAGAGGAAGAGCCGGATGACAAGGCAGACAAAGTAAGACTTTATGAGCTCAAAATATTGAAACATGTACTGTCTCTAATATATACGTGCATATTTTAGATGTAACAAATGGAATATTTTCTTTTTACGAAAGTTCAACACCAATAGTTTGTCTTCTTCAGAGTGCGTCATCAATAGTTTATCGTCATGTTTTAAATCGTCATGTTTTAAATCGTGTGAATTATTATCCCATAAAAACACAAACAATGGCATTTGTTATTTGTTATGTAAATAACAAATGAGCCCCGCCTCCAAGTGAGTATTCATTCATTGCCAAAGTGTGTGTGTGTGTGTGTGTGTGTGTGTGTGTGTGTGTGTGTGTGTGTGTGTGTGTGTGTGTGCGCGCGCGCGTGCACGCTTGCACCTGCAGAAGAACCAGCAGCAGCAACAGGGAAACAACCACACAAATGGGGCGGGGCACACCGGCAATCCCGACAACAGCCACGCCCAGGGCCCGCCTCTGAAGAAAGTGCGCGTGGTCCCGCCCACTACTACCTCAGGCGGCCTCATCATGACCTCAGACTACCAGGTAGCCTCTTCTCTCACCTGCTTGTGCATCAGTAGTAACGCATCTCACACACACACACACACACACACACACACACACACACACACACACGCGCGCTGTTTGTTGTAGTACTAAGGCTGACCAGTGAGAGGCAGCATGGTGCCTTGAACAGACTGCATTGCAACAGTCCTGAAATTGTCGCAGATGTAGTAGATTAAATGCCTTACTTTCCTCACATCCGGTATTAGACAGATACTAAAATTGACGTGTTCTGTCTCCCCGCAGCGCTCCAATCCACATGCTGCCTACCAGAACCCTGGACCAAGCACATCACTGCCCCAAAGCAGCATGGGGTACTCCTCTACCTCCCAACAGCCTCCGCAGTACTCCCACCAGACCCACCGCTACTGACCGCATACGTACGCACGTTGCCACACAAACGCCCCCCCCCCCGACCCCGTCACCCTCATTACGCCTGCCTAAAAGAATGTACTGAGGGACATGGGGCACCCTCTTTGCTGCAGTCCCCCTCTTCTTGTGAAGATTTACAAACAAACAGCATAGAGCAAGTGTTAGCCACACTGCTACATAGCAGAAATCCAACGAGTGATAAAAGCAGGGACGGGTGACGAGTCCACGCCCACGTCACGTGTCCCTCCGCCTACGTGCCCACCCCAGCCAGTAGCCCCGTCACTGTCAAAGCTCGGGACGAGACTGAAAAGCTGCTATTTGACTGCCAGCGTCGACAGATTCCACGTCCGTCTGTCCTCCTGTTTTGTCTCGTCTGTCTCGTCTCTTTCCTCGTGTGGCCGCCCTCCCCAGCCGAGGACTCAACTGAGGTGCTGGGAGGATGGCGCTAGCCCACGCAACTGTGGTGGATTTTTTTTTTTTTTTTTTTTTTTTTTTTTTTTTTTTTGCTGTTGTTCCGAAACGACTGAGAAAAAGATTTTAGTAATTTTTAATTTAATCCGTTTTTAAGCAGCTTGACCAGCCCCATACGTACATACAGGGGACATGAAAAGTTGACCCACCCCTGTTCAAATGCCAGTTTTTTTTTGTAGGGTAGTAAAATGAGACCACGATAAATCATTTCAAAAAAAAAAAAATCACAACACTGAAGGTATGTTGTTCTGTGATAAGTAGTGTTGTGTTTACGCCAAACCCACCTTGTGGAATTAATAGGCTAAGACGACAAGGAAATTGTTGTCACGTGTACTGAACAGCCATTACTTGCTAAAAATTCATGCGGCTCCTTCATCGTCAGCCTTCTTCCCGGCCTCCCAACTTAGCACTTTTGTACACATTGTCACTTCTGTAAGGACGTCCCCTTCTTGGGAATGTCGCTGTTGTGCCAAATTGTTTCCACTTGATGATGATTGTCTCCCCTGATGTGTTTGAGGGTGCGACTATAAAAATGTCAGGAAAAGCCAACTAGAACAGCTTAACGTTATTTGGGGTGAACAGAAGAATTTCAGATGGTGGCAGGTGTCTTAACTTCCATTCAACATCAATTCGAACCTATTTGTAAGATGGAGTGCAACCACACTGTCTCAATTGTTTATTTGTACCTCACCTCTCAAAAATATATTTTTTTTCCTCTTGGTTTGTACAGCTCCTAGTCACATTAATGGTGGAAAAAAGTTGAGAAATTGTTTATCTTGGTCTCATTTTATTTATGTTACAAAAACCTGGCATCTGACCCAGCGCTGTGTACACTTTTTATATCGACCTTGCCGTAGGCTGTGGGCCCTTTCAAATCCAACCAATTGCATGGAGGAAGGCAGATGGAAATGAATTGTACTGTATGGTATTGAGACATTTTACATGAAGCAAGTTAACCTGACAATAAAATTGGAAGCAGTCCTATTTTTGGTTATGTAAAATATCGACGTAACAACCGCGGGTACTGTTGTTCCACCGCGGCCTCTCCGAGCTACACGTCACATTCAATCACAATAACCATTTTGAATGTTTGCCTGCAAGTGCGTCCAGCATGGCCCTCACTTGAAAATCACAACCACTGGACAAAGTCTATCCATATTACATGTTTCACAGCAATTGACATGAAATTGGTAGGATGGTATGGAAAGTCTCAATGATCCAGGCCTGAAATTGAATTGTAAAGTGGCTATTTTGGTCAAATTTCAGTTACTATTTCCAGGGTTGGCTTTTTTTTTTCTAATCTAATTTGCACCTTTTTGGTCAAGTGAGGAGTTATAACCATGTAGCCTGTTTTTAACCACACCTGGTGTGTATAATTTAGTTATCGCCGGCCATTCTCAGACCCTTTTTAGCCTAGCTCTTTGAATAAGTACCTGGAATTGAATGTGTGGAGTCTGAAAAGACATACCGTAAATATGTCTTTGGGAGTGAATTAAGTTTCAAGTATCCTGGTAATCCTCTCAACTGAATCTCTTTACCTAACGCAATCTCTGAACCTCTCAACCTAGCTATTCTGTTACACAATCTAATAATGTCTCAAATTTTTTATTAAAATTTAACCGAATTTTAATTGGGATTGCAAGTGCAATTTTAGTATCATAAAAAAATATATATATCTAAACAACGCCCAACTATACACCGACCCATTCTAATTGTTATCCTTGTCATTCATTTCCTACTCAGCATTTCATTGGTTAGCAGGAATGCCCATCAAGTGTCTAAACCCTGATTCGAGCTCTCATTGGCCAGTAGGGCGTGTCCCTGTCCTCAATGGGTTCCCCCCCCCCGGAGCGGCCAGACAGGCTGAGGGGGGGATGCGATGTTAGGATGGCAGTGCTAATAGTAGTACCTAACGGGACATGCGGACCGGCTGATTTTATCTTCTAATTCAACAACAGGTGAGCGCCTTATTATCACGTACCGACAAAAACTGGTATCCGTCTTTATTATAAAATCGAAACGTGAGTCAATATTAATATTTAATTGTCTTGTAACTCAGAAGTCGAGCCAATGGACTAAGCTAGCTAACCGAGTGGTCATCACTGGGATTCTCAGCAGCCGAAATCTGTTTTAGAAATAGACTATTTTTCCCTCCGCTACCTTACTCCACCCATATTTTATAGCCTATTTGTGTTTGGCAGAAACGGGTGATGTAAACGCCCAGAACGGCGGCGTCCGGCTTGGGAGTTTTCTAGGCTGTGAGGATGTAGGGGTGCTTCCGATGTGGGTCAGCCCATCACATTCGGGAAGCGACGGTGCGGAACACTGATTGATCGTGCTTGCCTTTTACGTGTGTTTGCGTGTGCGTGCGTGTATGCGTGTATTTTAAAGACGGAAAGTAGTGTGAAGTACTGTACTACTGAGTAGGGTATCAAATGTGAATGTTATGGCATGATGTTCATGTGACTGCATTGCAAAGATTAATGGTGGCATGGAAAACAATGATGACATTGAGCCATATCTAAATCGCTATTTATTCTATTATAAAAATAATCAGTTTTTTGTGCTAAAAACACAACGTTTTTTGTTTTTTTGTTCCAGTCTGGTAAAAACGTATCAACACCAAGTTCACCAATCAACACAAAATTGGGTGTCTGTGTCTTTTGGAATAGGTCACATGAAAAAGTCTCAGGAACCCATGGCTGAAATTTAACTGGTGGTTGTTGTCCATTTTGGCATCAAAATTCGATAATCATTTGAAGGATTAGTGGGCAAGGATTCCTTGAAAGTTTGAAAAAAAAAATTTGCCCCTTGACACGTTTCACCTTTAGACCCAAAATTGGGTGGATGAGTTCATCAAACCAGGATGCACAAAAAAGTCTCAATGACCCATGCCTGTCCATCTTGCCATCAGATAGGGATGATCAGTTTTCGTGGGCGAGGGTCTACGGAAATTTTTAAAAAATTCGCCCTGACATCCGTCTCAACAATTGAAACAAGTTTTGGTGGTGTCTATCAAGACAGGATGCACACAAAAAATAGGCCCAAAATTGAACAGGAATTCGGCCATTGTGATTCGAAGTAAGCAAATTCCAGGGCATGTACTTTGACACACTTATTTAATTTGCCTACCAAAAACCCTGGACGTGAACTACACACACACACACACACACACACACACACACACACACACACACACACACACACACACACACACACACACACACACACACACACACACACACACACACACACACACACTGTACTTTGTTACGATGATCTTCCAGGCCCTATTCTACTATTACTACTACTAAGAAGCTACACTGTGCACTAACATGTGATGAATATTTAATCACAGGTACAAGTTTTACAGCAGAAGGAGTGACATCACACACAGAGCAGAGTGGCAGTGACGTAATCCCAGTTGCATTATTCACCATCTCAGAATACAGCCCCGCAGAGGCAAGAAGCACCGTCTCATGAATTAGCAAGTGCTCCGCCCTCGCTTTGTGACACAGCTGGGGTCCAAGGCGGCCATCTTGGCGAAGAAGCGGCAACCTCGGGGTGACGCATTGTTCACGCACCCGTGGGACGTATTCCATTCCGCAAGATAAATAAAATACAAAAAGCAATGGCAGCAAAGGACAACTAGGAATGGTCAATATCACTTTTTTTTCAGACTGATACCAGTCTTTGGGTACTCACAGACACGGAATACAATACTTTTCGTACTTTTTATATGTACAATTTCATTGAACACAATCACAAAACATTGTCAACAAAACCATTTTCTCTGACACAGAAGCCTAGTTAGTCGCATTGTATGTGATTACGGTAGATACGGAACTAGCTGGGCTTCACAGGAAGAGGAAGCTGGTGAGAAAAGTACGGGGGGTAACGAGAAGAGGAGATGTGGGTTGGGGGCCGTTGGGAGGATGCATGGGAGAACTGGCGCGGTTGCCGTGTGAACGCAGTGCCATTGTCCCGGGAACCTTTCAGTCTGGCTTCCCCCGAGGTCCCAATTTCCACCCCTCCCCCTCCCTTAACACCCAGCCCACGTCCCCCCGCACCCACCACCACCCCACCCTCTTCTTTCCTTGCACAGCACATGACCACACTAACATCAAACATCACTTTCCCCCACCCACCACCACCTCCTCACTGCTCATTATCTCGCCTCATTGATGTGATTGTCATGCCCAAAACCAAACACATGGACATGAACACTGGTCGCTAGGGTGTCTCCGCTCACACTGCTCCATCCGGCCAGGCTGCGGTTGTTGTTGCTCGCCTCAAGCAACTGCTGATAATCTTGTGCCGTGTGACCACATGATACAAGAAGAAAGAAGAAAAAATGAATAAATAACCCCTTTTATGTTCATTTAGCCAAATGCAAACAAACAGTCAGTACGGCCTGACATTTTTTTTTTTGTTTGTTTTTTTAGGCCGATTCTAATATTTGGCAGAATTACAATTCTATAACTGATTCATCGATCAATCATTTACAAATAGATATAATAAATGACATATTTCTGGGGGAGGGGTTTAAAAATATGAATTACAGGCAAAAAAAAGGAATATTTTTACAGATTTTAAAAGAGCTAGTATTGGACGATTAAATTGGCTGGCTGCATGTTATAATGAGTAAAATAATAATGCTAAAGCATTTGGTGAATTAAAAAAAATAAAATATCATCTGATTAAATCGGCCTGCCGATTAATCGTCCGGGCCCTACTAAACAGACTAACAAATAGCATCTGTGGCGGTGTTATGAGCCATTAATCCATGGTTACTTGAACACAAACGGTGGGGCAACACATAGACAGACAATATAAACAAAATTCACAGTCAGATATTCTTTATCGTTTAGGGAAAAAAAAATGACGAACTGAGGATCTAACTGTCTCCATGTTTAGCCATGTCTGTATTGTCCTGTGCCAGGGTAGCCGAGACACAATGTCAATTGAATGGGTGCAGAATCAAAATTTGGCAATTTTTAAAATAAAACAGAAAAAAAAAAGAAAAAACAGTAAATAATAATGGAAATCATATTTATAATATGTATTTAACATTTTTACTAAATCATTTTGACTGTGCAGCTTGAATTTTAAACAATTTCTTCCCTTGGAAATTGAGAGAAATTGTTATGTGCTAAATGTTGCCCCACAGGTCCACTGTTAAGAGGCAATGGTAGGCTTTTGTTCTCCGGCCTCTTGTTGAAGAGCCGACAGAGCGGCATTGTTTGGACGGGTAGAGCAGAGGTGATCCAGGCGGGAGCAGGAAACAGGAATTGGGCCGAGGCTGCCAAAATAGGAAGCGAGGCACTGATAAGATGGCTGCTCAGATCCACGCCGGGATTTCTCCTGTGGGTCTGTTGAGATATTGTTCCACGTTTTCCCATCTTCAAGTGGACATTCCGTAACAAAAAGTTTCTTTCAATTTTGGTATGCAAATCTGGCTTTTGGACGATGAGGATTTTTTTGGTTACTCCTGTATTTTAGTGACATCGTGACTGGAATGTGGAATGAAATCTGTTTGAGCGCTAGCTTGAAGAGCATTATCTTCTTATGAACAAACCTTTCTTTAAAAATGCACAATATGTGAATTTTAAGTCTGCTTGCTTTTTTTTTTTTGAAATTACATGTGAACATTGCACATTTGAGAGCATCATACTTGCATTTTCCATCCACCAATCTGCGTTTGTGTCAAATTTCCAGCTGGGCCACTGACAGGCCAGCCTGGGATTAGCCGGCACGCTGCATCTTGCGATCGCTAATGCCTTAATCCTCGCCGCCAATCGTTGCGCTCGGCACTCGATCTGGGCGTCCGCCCGCGCCGGCATCATTGAACATGTTTAGATTTAATAGTCCCCTAAATTTTAGTAGGATGTTTTATTTTTTCATTTTATCTCAAACATTTTTGGGGTCATTTAAACCATATTTTTCTCTTTTCATCCTAATAATTTTTTTTTCAAAAATGAGTCCTAATAGTCTTCTATTTTCATGTCTCATATTTTTGTTTTTGTACGATAATTTCCCTATTGTTTTTTTTTGTCCGCCCGCGCCGGCATCATTGAACATGTTTAGATTTAATAGTCCCCTAAATTTTAGTAGGATGTTTTATTTTTTCATTTTATCTCAAACATTTTTGGGGTCATTTAAACCATATTTTTCTCTTTTCATCCTAATAATTTTTTTTTCAAAAATGAGTCCTAATAGTCTTCTATTTTCATGTCTCATATTTTTGTTTTTGTACGATAATTTCCCTATTGTTTTTTTTTATATTTATATTTTTGGCAGATATTTGTAATTTATTTAATATTTTCATATTTTTGCAAGAATATTTTATTGTTTAGTTATACATTTATAATTTGTCTTATGCTGGTATTTAATTTGTAATATTTTTATAAACATTTATGTATTATTTCATCATCTAAATATGGTTTTTGTTTTTTAAATTTATCTTGATATGTTTTTGGGGTTTTTTTCTCATGTTTTTTTTATTTTACTTGTCTAACATTTCTGTATTATGATTTTTAAAAAAATATTTTAGGTTTTAATGTTTGTATTTTTTCTAAGATTTTTCTGTCTTTGTCTTGATATTTTTGTGTTTCATGTTTGATTTTCTTTTTTTGTAATCCTGTTTTTGTCCAGTATCCATCATTTTTTTGTCCTCTATTTGCATTTTATATTTGTCGTGATATTTTTGTATTTTGTGTTCCAAAGTTTCTTTTAATTTTTTTTCAGCGACAATGTTTTTTTTTTTAGAACTATTTAAATATTTGTGTGGTGTTTTTTTTTTTTTTTTTTTTTTTTTTTTCCTTTTAACGCTTTAAAACTTTTATTATTATTTAGCCAAATGCAAACAAACAGTCAGTACGGCCTGACATTTTTTTTTTTGTTTGTTTTTTTAGGCCGATTCTAATATTTGGCAGAATTACAATTCTATAACTGATTCATCGATCAATCATTTACAAATAGATATAATAAATGACATATTTCTGGGGGAGGGGTTTAAAAATATGAATTACAGGCAAAAAAAAGGAATATTTTTACAGATTTTAAAAGAGCTAGTATTGGACGATTAAATTGGCTGGCTGCATGTTATAATGAGTAAAATAATAATGCTAAAGCATTTGGTGAATTAAAAAAAATAAAATATCATCTGATTAAATCGGCCTGCCGATTAATCGTCCGGGCTAAACAGACTAACAAATAGCATCTGTGGCGGTGTTATGAGCCATTAATCCATGGTTACTTGAACACAAACGGTGGGGCAACACATAGACAGACAATATAAACAAAATTCACAGTCAGATATTCTTTATCGTTTAGGGAAAAAAAAATGACGAACTGAGGATCTAACTGTCTCCATGTTTAGCCATGTCTGTATTGTCCTGTGCCAGGGTAGCCGAGACACAATGTCAATTGAATGGGTGCAGAATCAAAATTTGGCAATTTTTAAAATAAAACAGAAAAAAAAAAGAAAAAACAGTAAATAATAATGGAAATCATATTTATAATATGTATTTAACATTTTTACTAAATCATTTTGACTGTGCAGCTTGAATTTTAAACAATTTCTTCCCTTGGAAATTGAGAGAAATTGTTATGTGCTAAATGTTGCCCCACAGGTCCACTGTTAAGAGGCAATGGTAGGCTTTTGTTCTCCGGCCTCTTGTTGAAGAGCCGACAGAGCGGCATTGTTTGGACGGGTAGAGCAGAGGTGATCCAGGCGGGAGCAGGAAACAGGAATTGGGCCGAGGCTGCCAAAATAGGAAGCGAGGCACTGATAAGATGGCTGCTCAGATCCACGCCGGGATTTCTCCTGTGGGTCTGTTGAGATATTGTTCCACGTTTTCCCATCTTCAAGTGGACATTCCGTAACAAAAAGTTTCTTTCAATTTTGGTATGCAAATCTGGCTTTTGGACGATGAGGATTTTTTTGGTTACTCCTGTATTTTAGTGACATCGTGACTGGAATGTGGAATGAAATCTGTTTGAGCGCTAGCTTGAAGAGCATTATCTTCTTATGAACAAACCTTTCTTTAAAAATGCACAATATGTGAATTTTAAGTCTGCTTGCTTTTTTTTTTTTGAAATTACATGTGAACATTGCACATTTGAGAGCATCATACTTGCATTTTCCATCCACCAATCTGCGTTTGTGTCAAATTTCCAGCTGGGCCACTGACAGGCCAGCCTGGGATTAGCCGGCACGCTGCATCTTGCGATCGCTAATGCCTTAATCCTCGCCGCCAATCGTTGCGCTCGGCACTCGATCTGGGCGTCCGCCCGCGCCGGCATCATTGAACATGTTTAGATTTAATAGTCCCCTAAATTTTAGTAGGATGTTTTATTTTTTCATTTTATCTCAAACATTTTTGGGGTCATTTAAACCATATTTTTCTCTTTTCATCCTAATAATTTTTTTTTCAAAAATGAGTCCTAATAGTCTTCTATTTTCATGTCTCATATTTTTGTTTTTGTACGATAATTTCCCTATTGTTTTTTTTATATTTATATTTTTGGCAGATATTTGTAATTTATTTAATATTTTCATATTTTTGCAAGAATATTTTATTGTTTAGTTATACATTTATAATTTGTCTTATGCTGGTATTTAATTTGTAATATTTTTATAAACATTTATGTATTATTTCATCATCTAAATATGGTTTTTGTTTTTTAAATTTATCTTGATATGTTTTTGGGGTTTTTTTCTCATGTTTTTTTTATTTTACTTGTCTAACATTTCTGTATTATGATTTTTAAAAAAATATTTTAGGTTTTAATGTTTGTATTTTTTCTAAGATTTTTCTGTCTTTGTCTTGATATTTTTGTGTTTCATGTTTGATTTTCTTTTTTTGTAATCCTGTTTTTGTCCAGTATCCATCATTTTTTTGTCCTCTATTTGCATTTTATATTTGTCGTGATATTTTTGTATTTTGTGTTCCAAAGTTTCTTTTAATTTTTTTTCAGCGACAATGTTTTTTTTTTTAGAACTATTTAAATATTTGTGTGGTGTTTTTTTTTTTTTTTTTTTTTTTTTAATCGCTTAAACGCTTTAAACGCTTAAGTATTTTGAGATCAGTTAAAAACATAATGAAAAAAAAAAGCAAGTTGTTTATGTGTGTGCACGTGTGCCCCACAGTCGTGCGCGGTCCTGAAGCGTCGCCATGCCACTGGTCAAGAGGAACATCGAGCCGCGCCACCTGTGCCGCGGGGAGCTCCCCGACGCCATCGGCAGCGAGCTGGAGTGTGTGATGAACAACACGCTCTCCGCCATCATCCGCCAGCTCAGCAGCCTGAGTAAGACGCACCGTCACATCCACACATGCACGCACACATACAAGTACACGCTTGAGTGTGGACCACCACCAAGGTCAAGTGAGTGTGACCTCACGTGATAGCCAAGATCAAATAGTGGCCATTATAAAATTTGCCTTCAAAAATCAGATTGGAAGGTATGCTATGAGGGTAGCGGTTCGAACGCTGTTAACTATTAGATAGTACAAGTGTAAAAATAAGTTCACCACTGTTATTACAAAAACGCAAAACATTTCAAGGACCAAAGCATAATGCACAGATGAGTCCTGTTGCAGAGGCAGGAACATATTTTTGGGTTTTTTTTTTCATAATAAAGGTATATTTTTCTTTTGATTCTTGTCGTGATAAATTTTGTATCATTTCGGAGGTTTGACAAATTTTGGCCATACTACTTTTACATTATTGTCCAATGTTTTTGTATTTTTTTTTCTATTTTCATTCAAATGTTTCTTTTTTTAATTTGTCCTGTTTTTGATTTGTTGTCAAAACAAATATTTTTTTGTAATGGATTTTGCATATTTTTTTAATCATAGTATTTTGGATTTTTATTTCTAAATGGTTTTATATTTTTTGTAATATTTTCATTCAATCTTTTCGTCAATGTTTTTTTTTTTTTTTTTTTTTTTTTTTTAATGCGCTGTTTTTGATTGATCCAGAGTGTCACTGAGGGGCGCAACAAGGGCATCCATCTTTCATGTACATTTTTGGGGGGAACAATTGCAGCTGTGTGGTTGATATTTACATTGACGTGTTCACACACAGTTGATGCATGCATATAATATAAAACGTTCAAACGGGGGGGTGGTGGTCGTCCGTAACACCCCTCAGGGTGTGAAGTCAGAGTTGAAAGGGCTCAATGCGCCGCATCCGGGATTCTTCCTTCCGCTAAATATTTTGTCCCGAAGCCCATCCTGTCTGCGGGAGGGCTGCAAACAGCCCCACTCCCCTGCTTGGCATTTCCACTCCAAGCTTTACAGACGCTACGCTTGCCATTCATTGACAATGTTGGTTTGTTTTGAAGCATGTAGTTGTACTTTTTAAAACTCGTCTTGAAATACATTTTTAGTCTTTGGCTTTTGACTCAACATGAAACTCGGGATTGTTTTTGCGTTTTGTGGTCTTTTACTGTTTTTATCTTATTGTTTTGGTTGTCTTTCTTGTTGAATGACAAATTCTTGCTCCATTGTAACCTGATAACATGATAAGCCGTCCACTGTAGTAACCGCTGTCCCCGAAAGGGTTAATAATAAAAGTTGATTTGCCTTTTTCATTGTGTGTTAGCAGCATTATACTCGATAAGACAAATTGTCCTCTCACTCGTCCTTTGCGCCGTCCATCAGGCAAACATGCAGAGGACATCTTTGGTGAGCTGTTCAACGAGGCCAACACCTTCTACCTGCGCGCCAACTCTCTCCAGGACCGCATCGACCGGCTGGCCGTCAAGGTCACGCAGCTGGACTCCACTGTGGAGGAAGGTGGGGCCATCGGATTCTGACATGTCCATCTCTCTCATGATATTTACTCATTTATTTATTTATTTGCTGCGCATCCTTGAAATTAAAAAAAAAAAATTTAAAATAAAGAATTACATTATAGTTAAAGGATCTATAGTATGGTCAACTAACCAATCGCAAGTGGCACGGTGGTCGATTGATTAGCGTGTCTGCCTCACAGTGCAGAGGTACAGGGTTCGTTTGGCCTTCCTGTGTGGAGTTTGGATGTTCTCCCCCGTGCCTGCGTGGGTTTTCTACGGGTACTCTGGTTTCCTCCTACATTCTAAAAACATGCATGGTAGGTTGATTGAACATTTCTAAATTGTCCCGAGGCATGAACGGTTTGTCTATGGGTGCCTTGCCATTGGCTGGCAGCCAGTTCAGGGTGGCCCCCCGCCTACTGCCTGAAGACAGCTAGGATCGGCTCCAGCACGCCCGCGACCCTCGTGAGAATTAGAAAATGGATGGATGGGTATAACCAATCAATATAGAGAGAAACAGAGAGGGAGAAATTAATAATTTAAAAAAAAGTGTAGCTCCGTTTTAATCCGCCGGTTTCAAGGGAAAACTAATAAACATTATCGGACTCTTTAAAGAGCAGTGAATAAATTCTATAAATATTCATATTTGTAAAATGACTTGCGTGTACACATTATGTATATTTTTACATGAATAAATCAAACAATTCATCTCATTTTTAAACTTTATTTATAATTCATGTAATTAAAACGAATGCTTAAAAAATGTAAAACTGCTGACTATTTTTTTTTTTTTGCAATGTATTAAATAACCGACCATTGACTCTATATTTCTATATTATTTGAAATATAGATACTCAAAACAGTCATTTGTGCTCACCTCTTCCGCAGTTTCCCTGCAAGACATCAACATGCGCAAAGCCTTCAAGAGCTCCACCACTCAGGACCAGCAGGTGGTGTCCAAAAGCAGCTTGCCCAACCCGGTGAAGGACATGTACAACTTGAGTGACAAGCCACCACCACTCAGCATCCTCTCTTCATACAGGTTGGACATTAAAAAAAATATATAATAATAATAATGATAATAATAAAATAAAGCCGTGACCATATGTTTGGAGGAGCGAAAAAAAGCAACAAAAAATTCATTTTAACTCTTGGAAGACGCCGTTCAGACATTTTTCCTGTGTGTATTGCGCACGGGCACGTCACAGAGTACATTTTTGTTCCTATGTGCAGGGACGACAAGAAGGAAGCTCTTAAGTTCTACACCGACCCCTCCTACTTCTTTGACCTGTGGAAAGAGAAGATGCTGCAGGACACAGAAGACAAGAGGAAAGAGAAACGCAAGCAGAAGGTGCAAAATCTCATCCGCTGGCTCCCACGTCACTCACCAACCCTAACCCCACACACTCAAACACCTGCATCTCACAGAAAATCGATGTTACCGTTTTACGCATTTGTGACGATTCATTAAAAGACTGTCTGCGTTCACTGAACCCAGGAGCAGAAGCGCTGCGTGGACGGAACGTTGCAGAGGGAAGTGAAGAAAGTCCGGAAGGCGAGGAACCGCCGACAGGAGTGGAACATGATGGCGCTGGATAAAGAGCTGAGGCCGGATCACCGTCACACGATACACAGAGACAGAGGGGCTTCCTCCGAGGGCTCCGTATCTCCAGAGAACAGGTAAAGGGGTTTATTTAGCACTTTTCAAACAAATAAAATCCATTGAAATATGATACTTTTTTTTTTTCAGTTTTAAATAAATATTTACTGTTTACGACATTTATATACTATATATAATTAAAATGAATGAATAAAACAAATATTTGGATTTCAATGTGTAATAAAAATGAATGACTGTACACATATTTAGTGCATTTCAATGTGCAATAAAATAGATGAAGAATAAAAATATTTACCGTCGTTAAATATGTAACGCAACAAGTAATTGACAATGAAAATGTTCATCGCATTTAAATGTGCAAATAACAAAGGAAACGTGTGTGTGGTCCATTTTATTGTGGAATGAAAACTAATTAAAAATATTTACATTATTATTATCCATCCATGTATTTTCTGATCCGCTTATCCTCATGAGGGTTGCCGGCATGCTGGAGCCTATCCCTGTTGTCTTCGGGCCCCATTATTATTATTTTTTTTTTTTTTTTAATTTTGAATTTAATTTAAAAACAAAAAAATTCTGACCTCTACCGGTGCATTGCATTGTATTTTGCCACAATGTACTCTTGCTGCTTCACCTATCAGGGGTCACGGAGCCGACCTGCACCACTACCCCAACGCCATGAACCACGCTGGCCACGCCCACACCTACTCGGGCCCGCCTCCCAGCGTCCTGGCAGCCCAGATGGCGGCGGGCCACGGCCCTCGCGGAGGAGGCGACCACGACGGCAGGGGCAGGGTCGCGGCTTATCAGGGCGGCACTCTTGGCCGCGCCCACCACCACCACCAGCATCAACAGCAAGTCCCGCTGCCTCCCCCGCCCGTCGAGGCGATGAATGGCGGCTCCATGTCCCTACCTCCAATGGACTACAGGTAAACCTCGAGGCATCAGCTAATAAATGACCACCTCCCACAAACAGATGCCTCAGGAAAAAAAATATGTAACCAGATTGACCTCCAATAAACACCCGCAGCCACTTGTTTAGGTACGCCGTCCATGTCTTTCTTGCAGTTTGGATGGTTACGCCAACACGGGGCCTCCGCCCCCACCCCCGGCTCCTCTCATCCCTTCCGCCCTGACGGCCTTCGCCTCGCCACCCGGAGGGCCCATGTCTCCCGGCCCCGGCGGCTATGCTCCGCCTCCGCCACCCATATGCGGCGGCGGGCCAGTCGCTCCGCCGCCTCCTGGGCCTCCTCCGGCATCTCTCCAAGCCGGTGCCTCCCACGCCATGGTGCACAAAATGTCGTCGCCCGTGCCTGTGGAGAGCAGCATGGTCAATGATGCCCGCAGTGACCTGCTGGCAGCCATACGTATGGGTAAGTCCGAGTGTATTTGTGCGTGCGTGCGCGTGTGTGTATGTGGTCCGTCGAATGGCGTCTTATGTCCCCTGCAGGCATCCAGCTGAAGAAGGTTCAGGAGCAGCAAGAGCAGCAGGCCAAGCGCGAGCCCGTCGGCAACGACGTGGCCACCATCCTGTCGCGCCGCATCGCCGTGGAGTACTCGGACTCCGAGGACGACTCCGAGCTGGAGGACAACGACTGGTCCGATTGAAGCACACACACACACGCACACACACACAAATACTGTATAAGATGAAGGGTCCACAAGCTGTAACCAAGCACTGTAAAGAAGTCAATACTGTATACTATAACCATGACCATTTCCTGCTACCTTCACGTCTTGCTGGATGCTTTTCAAGCACCATGAGTGCCCCCGGTGTACCTGTTGTAATGCTGCACTCACATGTCATGTATAATGTGATGGATATGCCACAAGTGTTAGATTCAACTGAAGACTTTCCTCTTGAGCTAATCCCTTCCTTTTATTTTATTTTTTTTTTACTCAACATTACGCTATAGATCATCAGGTAGAGCAGGGGTGGGCAACCTATGGCCAAATGCGGCCCGTGCAGAGTGTTTGAGCTGATCTGGACCAAGGAATTGAAGGAAATGGAGAGTGTCAGGAGTGGAGTTATTGCATCTGTGCAGTCTCACCAGTAGAGGGCGCCTATGAGTCTCTTAAAAGACTTGGTTCAACTCTGACCTTGTTGAGGTGAGTTCGTACAGTTTCCGGTGTTCTCGCAAATTATCAAACTTTGACCCCCGCCCAAAAAAAAAAAATCATTCCTCAGGTAATGAATTTTGAGCCTAAATTGGCCCCTTCAAACTAAAATTGCAGACTTCCTGTTTATTTTCGCAAATTGCTGCTTGACTTTTTTGTGGGTCTGCTCATGATTAGGTCAACCAAATGTGTTAAGTGAAACTCTCCTGGGGGGCTGAATATTTTAACGTGAAAATATGGTCCAAAAACCTTGAACCCACAAATGCGCATAAAATAATAAACTAAACGGGTATGCCCCACAGCCACAATGACAAGTACTCAAATTCCTCACAATTCAGCGTCATCCATTTTTCTCCTGAATGTGGTTGAGAATTGGTCGCAATTGCACAAAATTTCCTCGTCATTCGTCTTTGATCAAACATTTGTCAAAATGACCCTAAATTGGCCACTTCAAACCAAAACGGCAGACTTCTTGCGTCTTTTTCGGGAATGATTTCTCGAGACTGTTTTGTGGGTTTACTCATGGTAGACATGTCTACCAAATTTCATGTTAAATGAAACCGTCTTCAGAGGCTGAATTTGAAATTGCAAAATATAGTCCAGTCGGTGTAGTTACGCTTTAAAGGAGCCCTGAAAATGTTCACGGCGACTTTGAAATGGCCGCATGCATGAGTACATTTCGTTCACCGAAATGGCTCCTAATGGGGGGGAGAAACGTTGCCCAACCCTGCTGTTGATAGTAAGTGGGAAGTAAATGTGATTAAAAAAAAGAAGAAGAAGATGGATGGTTGAGGCTGTGTCATGTATATGGTCTCATGTGACTTTTGTAAAAACCAGAGATGAATTAAAAAAAACAAACAAAAAAAAAACATGAATGGAGCACACCGGCTGGTGAGTCTCCTCACTGTCCTCTGGTGTCGTCACGTGTACTGTACCTGGCTCTCCTGTTTCTATGGCGACAGGAGCAGAGTTGCCATGGCAACCAGATAGGGAGCAGGAGGGGGAAATGAAGAAAACAGGCGAGGCGGGCGTGATATGCACTGCATGTGTTAGTTTGCGTGTTGTTTTTCTTTTTTTTTTTTTTTTTAATTAACTAACAAAGCAATAAAAAGTACAACAAGAGTGCTTTGGGAAAAATAGACATCACACACTTCACACAAATGTTGTATTTTATTTTATTTTTTTTAAACAGTTAAATTAGTGCATGTTGATTCTCATTTTGCAGCTACTTCAATTGTGCCATCGTGATCCCAACTCCCCCCCCTTCCCCTCCCCCAAGACATTCACAGGCCCCCTTGAGTGTCGAGTTAGTTCGCTCAAACCACTTGGAGCCCCTCCTCGGCTACACAATTACTTTCACTGATTGTGTGACAGATAAGCGTGACAGTCTTTTGCTATTCTTATAAAACAAAAGCCCTTTTCGCACCCTTTTTGACAAATTCCAGTACCAGGGGGGCAAAAAAAAATTTTTTTTTTAAGTGGTGCGACCCAAGTCCTTCCATTCAGAGTGACTGCTTTGGTAGCACCATGCACGGTGGTTAAGTCTCCCCATTTGGAAAGCATGCCGTATTATTTACACAACGTAGCCCGAGGGAAAAAAAACAAACGGTGTCACTACATTCAGAAAAAAAAGGCTATTACAGCGCTGTGATATCATCGTACAACATAAGGAATTCAAGACGAAAAAAAAATAGAACTTTTCAATGAATATAACAAAATAGACTTTTTTTTTTTGTTTTTGTGTTTGTTTGTTTTTTTTTTGTGTCATTGTTGTGATGTCAACATAGACTGGGGCCACACCCCGAAAGTCCACCGATATCATTTGGAAGTGGCCCCCTTGTTTAGCTCATAAGATCATTCAAAGTTCACTTGACTTGACTTCCACCGATTTAATCGATCATCCTCTTTCACTTTGGCTTCAAGTAGCGTCGTTTTTTTTTTTTGTTTTGTTTTTTAGTCCCATGATGTCGTCGCGGCAGCATGCGGTAGAGCGCAAAAAAAAATTTTTTTTAAGGTGGTGGGGGAATTTTTTCCAGACGGTCAAGGAAGACTGGCAAGCAGCGGCATCCGCAAAAAAAAAAAAAACAGCAAACACCCATGTACTGCATTTTATGGAGTGACATGCTCCTCCCTTGAGGAGAACACTTGCGGCCATGCAACTCTGAGCACGACAAACACACACACACATAAAAAAAAAAAAAAGACACTTGAGGTTACAACACCCGGGGGGGTTAGCTCAGCACAGCGGAAAACAAAACAGGGTGCTTGTATTAATTGAGACGACGTGTCTGTTGTGCTGATAAATGAATGGCATCGATAAAGATGTACACTGGTCACATTAATCATATCATGAGGTCATATCAACATGAATAATTATGGATCGGAAATGGCGAGATGTGGAAAACGCGCTAACGACGGGCTGTCATCCGAGGTTTGTTTTCCCAAGTGAAATTTGAACCGCAATTCCCACGAAAGCAAATCGGATGATGATGATGATGTCATCATATTAAAAAAAAAAGGCACATCAAGAGAATGATTTGAGATACAGAACGCCGTCATCGCCTGGGCTTTAATTTTCGAGGTCATTCTCGATGGGCTTTGTTGCGATTAGTTGTGAGGTCTCGTTGAAAAAAAAAAAAAAAGTCAATATTTTGGGACAAAAGCAAATCACCTCACAGTTACAAAATAATCATCCGTGAAGCCCTTATGATGATTTTTAATTTGACGTGACACTCGGTGGGCTCTGTTGCAATTTCATTTTTTGACCTTGTGATAAGCTTGAAGTTTAATCGCCGTCCATTTTTTTTTTACCCAAAACAAATTAGCACATGAGCTCACATTGACAAAGCAAAAACTCAAATTTCATCCATGAAGCCATTTTTTTTTTCACATTTGATTATCCCTCTCATAGCCTTTCACTCTGCAGGAAGAAATCACAGTAAGGGTGTGTAGATGTTATTGCTGTCTTGAGTATTGCTTCACCACTCGGAAAATAACTACCGACCAAAGGTTGGTTATTGCTGACAACATGAGAAAACCGGGCGAGAGCTCTTTAAGGGCCTAAAAGCAGATGCCTCACTTTTTATATCACGACTCCATTAGGGAATGGAGGAGTTAATTTTTTTTCCCAACCTTTATAGAGCACTTATTGGAAAACTGGGAAATCCCCATGTCAACCCGAGACTATTTTGAACATACTGTACTGTATTTCTATAAATAAAATGTAAAAATCGGGCAACTATGAAAAAAATATAACAATAGCAACGAAGTATGAGTGACTTGGAAAAATCCTCCTGATGACTTTTATCCATATGGGGCAAAAATAAAATGGGAGACGTGTGCTTTTCATTGCACAAGACTGGCATTGTTATTGTACATAAAGTTTTATAAATATTGTTGTAGGTGAGAGGAAAAAAAAGGGCGGTGGCGGGCGAGATGTTCTAAATTGAAGTATAACTTCATTCATTTCAGTGCTGTGTTTAATGGAGCTCTTTCAAGTCAAGTGGAAAAATAGTGTACTTTAGTTCCATTTAAAAATGATCAGAAGTCATGAAAAAGCGACTTTGAAAAATATACGTACGTAATAAATGACGAATTTCATGTATTTAAACGTATTCCCTTTCATTAAGAATTAACCGGAAACGCGTTTGGCACCAGACACGAACGAGAAGGAAAATAAAAAAATAATGAAGATTAGAAACATGTTTACCAAAAAAATAAAAAATTGACGTTAAAAAAATGTACAATTCATCTAAGTGGCTGATACATGATTTTCACTGGTCAGCAGCAACAATATTCTAATGATATGTAAAATGTATAGAATGTGCAAAAATAATTTTGAATCCAATATTTGAAAAAATGTGGTGTTTTTTTTTTTGTTTTTGTTATTTCAATAAGTGCCCCACAATTAGGTCAGATCATTCTCTGTGTCTTAAAATGGATTCGTCGTTTTGTCATTCCATGAAGTTGATTGGCTGGCATCCTGGTAACGAAATGATGCAATTCTTTTGCATGGCGTATCGGAACCTTCAACTGCGTCAACATTCAAAAAATCAAGTCAATACAATACAAGAGAGGTTGAATGGATGTTACACTCACTGCGGCCCCCAGTGATAGAACAAATAGGGGGTCTCACATGAGTGGGGAACAGAGGGGGCGGGGGGGTTCGTTATGGTGTTGTCAAACATTCACACGCAAGAATCCAGAGAAAGACATGAAGCATAGCGAGGCCTCCTTATTTCCACAAGAGAAGCCGGTGTCTATTTTTAGCTTGCCGCGCCTCTTTAGCTTGCCACGCACGTTCGGGGCAGGCGGCGGGCGGGGATAAAAAAATAGGCCTGCGTGCTTGTCGTCATCCGCCTGGTTTTTTTAATCTGCCTTTAGAGCGACCAATAATCCCGAAGGACGAGCACGTGGCGGCCGAAACTGCGTCGCTCCCCATGCGGGGGAGCATGTGATGGGCACCCTTTGCAGAGCGGGGCAAGGGCGGGGCACCGGAGAGAGGGTGCAAGAGGGAGAGGCTGGGTGAGTGGACAGCATGCAACATGGCTGCCTCAAGTGAGGAAGACAAGAGGTAAAAAATAAACAAAAAAAATCGGGATGTCAAGAAATCATGAACTCCCATGCTGCCCCTCTTTGTGATCCAGGGGCGCCACGCTCTCTCGAAACCCATCCAGGTCTCCTCAAACCCCTCCCAGATGAACTAACCGCAGGATGACCCCTTCTTTCAAAACCCACCCAGGTCTGTTTGTTCCAACCTCCCTCTCTGTCGCCCCTCTGGCAGACCAACCTTCTGTCTTAAAATCCAGTCAGATCAGTTAGCTCCAACCCAGAGGTGCCCCCCCCCCCCCTTCAGTGAAATCCACTTGGTGGGCAAAACCAGAGTTGCCTGCTTCTTTTAAAACCCACCCAGGTCAGTTCTCACATCTGCGTCAACCAACCCAGGGGCGACCCTATCTCTGCAAACCCAACCAGGTGAAACAACCCAAGTCCACAGGCACCGCATTCTCGAGATCGGTTCACCCATTTCTGTCAACCAACCTTGATCGAAACCCACCAAGGTGAGCGAGCCAAGGGGCGATCCTCTCTCTTCAAACTCACCAGTCAATTGGTTTCAACACAGGGGCACCACCCTTTCTCAAAGCTCATAAATGCAACGTAAGCAAGTCAGATCACTCCAACCTAGGGACCCTCTCAAAACCCGTAAGATGAACCGCCCTCTCTCAAAACATACCCAGGTCGATTCACTCATTTGTGTCAACCAACACAAGGTCGCCCCTTCCTCAAATCCCACCTAGGGCCAGTCCGTCCCTCGGTGAGAACCAACCAAGGGGCACCCCACCTCCACTCTCTCGCTCTCCGAAAACCCAAACGCTCCGTCCACTGGGTCAGACGTCGCTGGGAGTCCGCGCCCGCTGCGCCACGCTGGCGGGAATACATCCGCAGCACACCAACCACAGCGCCTTCTGGATCTCTTGGTTCCGGAAGGCGTAGATGACCGGGTTGATGACCGAGTTGTAGGTGGCGGGGACCAGCGTGGCGTAGGTGTACAGCGGCGGGTACGTGTAGTCGGCGATGAGCGAGTAGACGGTGAAGGGCATCCAGCAGGCGGCGAAGGTCCCCAAGATGATGGCCAACGTGGAGACGCCCTTCCGCGTGGTGACGTAATGTGGCGAGGCAGCCAGGAAGTGGTGCTGCAGGGCGATCTGGTGGGCGTGCCGCATGACAATCTTGCAGATCTGCACATAGAGCTGCAGCATGAGGCCGAACAGGAGCAGGAAGGAAACGGAGAGCACGGCGATGTTGTTCTTGGTGAGCGGGCGCACCACGCTGCACGTGGCCTCCTCGGCCAGACAGTTGACCCCTGTGACGGGAAGCAGACCCAAGCACAGTGAGAGTCCCCACAGGAGGACTAGCATGGTGTACGTGAAGGCCGCGGTACGCTCGGAGTTGTAGGTTAGGGCGTAGTAGAGCGACAGGTAGCGGTCGATGGTGATGGCCAGCAGGCTGAAGACGGACGCCGAGAAGGAGGCCACCACCAGGCCCACGGTGAGAAGCTGGGCCGAGTCCGACTGGAGCAGATAGGCACAGGTGAAGTGCAATACCAGGCCTAAGCCAGCCAGCAGGTCCGCCAAAGCCAGACTGCCGATAAGCAGGAACATGGGCGCCCGCAGCGCCGGGTTCTGCCAGATCACCAGGACCACCAGAGCGTTCTCGCAGGCGATCAGAGTCCCCGACGTGCACAGGACGACGTCCCACGGGTTGATGAGCAGGGGCAGTTGGCGTGGCGCGAGGGACTCCTCGGCGGGGAACGTCGCCGGGATGCTCACATTGTCCGTCGGCCCCCCGCCGCCGCTGGCCCACGCCGTGGGGTCGGGGCTCAGCCAGCTGGGAGTGGCCGGTGGTTCTTCGCTCATTGTGGCCCCCGTCTGAAAACACAGAAAAACGCCGTTGAGGCACACGCGCGATCTAGTTTGGTATGGACAAGTGTTTCCCACCCATTGAGGAAACAGAACAATCCATTTTCAACATTCTCATGAATTTGAGAACCAAAAATCCATTAAATTGGGTTACAGAATTTCCCTTACGATGCCGTCGTGTTGATAAATAGGACAGGGAGAGTCAGAGCTTTGGCAACTTTGCTTCATGAAGTTGTGAATGGAAAAATACATGACATTAAAACCCTGGAGAACCCAAGAACCCTTTTCTTCTTTGTAAAATGATGAATTATACATTAAATGACATATATGTTCACTGAACACCAAAATATATGTTTTTTTCAAATATTTAATGCCTTAATTCTAATTTACGATCAGGGCCAAATTTGACCCTTTGGGAACTAAGGGGAGCATTTGAGTAGCAGAATTTATAGGGGTCAAATTTGACCCCGTGGGTTCTCCAGGGTTAACCCTGCCTTGGCGCATCTCAGACCTACACAACAGGACAGGTTCGCCCCCACCCCAACTTTTGCTAACATGCAAGGAATTTGCAAAAACTTTGACAAAAATTCTTTAACCGTTTGATGGACAGCAGTTACTACAGTGGACATCTCATCATGTTATCAGGTTGCAGGGTACATGGAAGGGTTAATATGCCTTCACGGAGGTTGGTAAATATGACATTCATTCATCCATCTATCCATTTTCTGAACCACTTTGTCCTCACAAGGGTCGCGGGGCGTGCTGGAGCCTATCCCAGCTGTCTCCGGGCAGTATGCGGGGGACACCCTGAACCAGTTGCCAGCCAATCCCAGGGCTATCAGAGATGAACAGCCATCCGCGCTTACAATCACGCCTAGGGACAATTTGGAGTGTTCAATCAGCCGACCATGCATGTTTTTGGAATGTGGGAGGAAACCGGAGTACCCGGAGAAAACCCACGCAGGCCCGGGGAGAACATGCAAACTCCATACAGGGAAGCCGGAGCCGAGATCGAACCCACGACCTCTGCACTGTGCGGGCGACGCGCTAATCACTGGACCACAGGTAAATATGACAATTTTTACAAAATGTTTCAACATGCAATGCATTTTAACATGAATAATCCGTTAAAGTTTATGAGGGGGGGAAAAAAAACATGAATAGGCCTTGCCTTACTTTTGTTAACACTGCAATGTTGTCATTTCAACCTTTTCATGTATTTGTGAATGAAGAGCGCATTTCTCTTCATGACCAAAATTCATTAATGACCCGGGCAGAACTCTGCATACCGTTCATTCATTCCCCGAACCGTTTATCCCCAAATTTTGCGAAATAAGACACTTCTCACCCATTTTTACCAACATTGCAATCAGTTCTTTGCCCGTCTTCGTGGTGGCAAATTCATTGACATGCCCGCTCTGATATACTCGCTGATGTGAAAACGACTCAGCTGATCCCCACGTAACCTTGCGCGTGGCCTCGGGGAACCGACCTCATGAAATTCGTGATACAAAAGGACGATTTTTACATTTCTCAATGAATAGTAGTGAATCCCACATGATTAAAATCAGTCACATGTGGGTGAGTAGCCAAAATGTCAGGCCCTTGGTGAAGCTCTGAGCTCTGTACTGACTCATAGAGGCATCCCTGCCACATCTTTCAATTATCAATGGAGGTGGGTGAACGGCGTCAAAGCGCATCGCGGGCCGAACCGGCGAAGAGAATATGAACGCCGGTGGCACGAGGCCGAGCCACCCCACCCCGTGCAACAGCAGCATGCACCCAAAGTGGCCATATGTTACCGCTACTGATATTCTTGCTACTCCACGTCAGTCGAAAGGATGCAAGGGAATGGGGGGCGGAGGGGGGGGGGGCGGACGCATCGGTTATTTCCCCACCCCGTGTGTCACGGATGCTCAATGCGGCTTACCTTGAGACTCTGTGAGCTTGACGCCGGAGCCGTTCAGAGGCAGCCTTTTACATCCATGGCGCTGGATGGAGAGGAGGAGGCGGGGAGGGAGGGGGTGAGTCAAGGGGTGGGGGGATGCGGCGCCTCTTTCGGCTTGGTGATGCGAGGATGGATCGAGAGAGAGAGAGAGAGAGAGGGAGGAGACTGCGGCTGCGTGAGGACATGACAGAGGCCGCTGGCGCGCCTTCCAAAAGAAAGGGAGGATTATTCCTCATTCGAAGTTCTGCCCATGAAATCCATCGCCGATCATCCGTCGGTGTGAGGGGTTACACACGCACAAAAAAATATATATATATAAAAAAGGGAATCCTGATAAATGAATTGGCTTGACAGCACGGTGATCAAGCAATTAGATGATGCTTCACAATTGTGAATTCCCAGGTTCAAATTTGAGCGGGTAATTATGTAAGTCATTGAAATCTGGTGATAATCGGGCAAAAAAAAAAATTAAAAATCGCTTGGGCATGTAGGTAGTTTTTGAAGGATGTCTGCAAATGGTCCAAGATGGCAGCTTTCAACCAAAATGGCACATTTCATGCCAACTGAATTTCATGTTGCTAGTTTAATTTTTTTTATTTTTATTCCTTTTACTTCATGGGATATTGGTCCCCCCCAAAAAAAAGTAAAAGTCGTACTCTGAAGTATAAAAATATTGTGTGATAAAGTAACAAATTACAATTCTCAAACTTGCTATGGACTCACCTACTAAAGCCCCAAAAATGAATCTGGGTGATTTTTTTTTAAAAAATGTTATCTCTGGAAATGAGCCCTAAAATGACCTCTTTGTACCAAAAACGGCAGACATCATTTGTCTTTCAAGGCATCGATTCTCAATTTTTGTGGGTCTACTCGTGATACACAAACCTACCAAATTTTGTCACCAAGTGAAACTGCTGATTTTTTTTTTTTTGTGGTAGAATTCTCAGATATGCTCGTCCCCAAATTTCATACTGTCAAGTGAAACTTTCTTGTGCAGCACCTGCCCCCTGAGGGACTTGCGTTTAAAAATAGCTCTTGTTGCAGCGGAAGTCAACGTCATTAGCAGCTAAGCACCACTAAGGGGCGACATTGAGCTGGTATGAGTCATCACTGTGACTTTGAACCAAAGACAGTACATCGCCTCAAGACTGGCTTTATTTCTTTTTCTTTAAAACAGAAAATGATCACGATTCAGGCCTTCTCCTCCTCCTCCATTGCTCCCTCACGTTAAACTCACCAACACCTACAAAACGGTATCAAAAGTGCACCATAGTGTTATTAATACATCTCTGACATTTTCCAATAATATTTTTTTTTTTTGGGTAATATTTATACAAATACCATTCTGTACACTGTATAAATACACAATCCATGTTACCCCTTGTATCTTCTTAGTTTATGATGATCCCAAACTCGGGTGAGGGGGAAACATGAATGATTGAAGACTCATTTGTCCCTCAAACTAGAACGCCACTCAAAAAAAAAAATTTAAAAAAGAAACATCTGTACAAATAGGCGCACTAAGCCGTCCAAAGTATCCTTGACGCCGTTTTGTTCATTACTGTCCAATGGGCTACTGCGGCCGTGCATTTATTTATTGTCCGGCTGTTTTAGTCCCTGGACTGGTAGAAGAGGATGTAGCCCGACTCAGAGTTCTTGGAGATTTCCGAGGTGAGGCCGTAGAACTCCTCGATGGCCTGGGCGTCGATTTTCTGCACACGCATAAACATAGCGATTTAAAGAAAAACAATGAAATAAAAATGTAAAGCGGGAAATCACATGTTCATCTTCACCTCCACTATGTCGTCATCGAACAGCAGCCAGAAGTCGTGACTTTTGACGATGGCGATGTAGTGGCCTCTGTTCGGACCACTGGGGGAGACAAAAAAGAAAGACTCAACAAATTATCCCTCCCAAAAATATACACTATTGCAGAAAAATACAGATTTACATTTCTAAATAGTCCTCCCCTCTATAGATTGACAACAGTTCAGTAAAAAAAAAAATAAAAAAAATGCGGTAGCATGTTATTTCGACACAACGACATATTTTTTGTACCCTAGTAGATACCTGATACTTAAATTGAACTCGTTGGTTCCTTTTTTCAAGACGTTTTTTTTTTAATTGTTGTTATTTACCCAACATGTTTTGGCCAAAGTCTTTCGCCTTCTTCAGCATCACATGATGATGATGTTCAATGAAGAATAAGAAAGACCTAAGACTTGACCGCCGAAATATGTCAGATAAATAACATCCCTAAAAAACACAAAAATGTCTGCGATGAAGCAACCAACAGGTTCAATTATACGTAAGAGACAGAATGAACTTTTTTCCGGTTAAAATTTTCACTTTGCATATTTTATCATCTACAAACAATTGACATTTACTAAGGCATTTAGAAGTAAGCCCTAAAAATACGACTTCATTTTTATGTGCATTATTTGGGGAAAAAAATACTTATGTAAAAAAAAAAAAAAACATATTTCCTGAAATATTTGCCAGTGGTCTTTACTCAACTAAAGAGTATCATAATCTATATGGGGTAAGGCACTTATTATAGGGCAAATTTTTATTTGGAGAGCCATTTTGATATTTAAGCATAAACAACAGTGAACTGCATTCATATATATATATTTGCCTCAAAGCAGGGAGAATTCAAGTGTTCAGCGGGAGGCCTAAAATGTCGCATTTCTCTCAGAGCAGCATTTTTCTTAACCAATTCCAAAATGATGCCAATATCAATCTTGAGGGTTGCTTCCGTACCTCCCACAGTGCACGACCACGGCGACCAGGTCGTAGAGCCTCTCGGGATTGGTGGCGTCTCCGGACGTGTTGAAGAGGCGCAGCTCCAGTGGGAAGACGACGCGGTATGACAGCTTGGTGTAACGCTGCAGCTGCTCCATGTACTTGAAACGCTTCAGGTGCAGGGCCAGGATCATCGGCAGTTTCTTCACACGCATCCTGCAGCAACCCAACGGGGACGTGGCGTGGCGAGGAACCGACAGCGAAGCTTATTAGGATCAGTGTCATACATTGCTAAAAGATCATCCTGTGGTGTGGGGGTGTGTTCAGAGTGATTTCTTTTTTTTTTGTCCTGTCCAATCACCGTGGCCGATAATCGTAATATTTAAAGCAGGCTGCACATACCGTATACCGACAAATGAGAAACGTTTGATTTGAAGGACCAATCTTGGGCGATTATCTTGTGGTGTGTCATTTTTAACCCCCGATCTGTTCGGAATTCAGCTGAGGCTGAGATCGTAATTGTTACCTGTTCAATATTTAAGATGGCAAATGGTAATGTGCACCGTAGTGAACAGCTAAACTAAGAGTTAGCATAGGCGAGTATCGTTAGCTGTGTCGTGTGCTGTGTCGGCCATCTGATTTACACCCCATAAAAAGAGCAGAAAGATGCTGATTTTTTTTTTTTTTTTTAATCGCCATTCCACCATTAAAAAATGGGCTCAAACCTACCTCTTGTGTGCCTCCTGCTTGCTCCTACATTCTTCACAGTAGTATTTGTACTCACTGCACAGGGTCTCTGTGTTGCTGAAGCCTCTGAGGGGCGAAACACGGCTCAATGTGGACTTCCGCACGTTTGATTCCCACCGCGGACGAACGAAGGCAGGCCACGTGAAAAGGGCGTTACCTGAGGCAGTGTGTGATGGAGGTATTCTGTTCTACATCCACAGAAAGGTCCAGAAAGTCCTCATCTTTGCTGCTTATCTGGAAGGAACAAAAATGGACAAAGATGGTACAGTTCCACTCCAGTCCTGTAGGCGGCGGTATTATAAATTCAAGTGATATCAACAGAGGTTCGACGGAGCAAGAGGAGTCTTCTCAGGTCAAGGTATCGCCAAAATAAAAACTAATTTTCTGCTTTTTTTTTTTCCCCCCCAAAGTGCATGAATGTTTCGAAAGAGCAAAGTTCCAAGAAAATGGTCCAAGCTCCAACTAAAGTCTGGTCTCAAAAATGAAAAACAAATGTTCTCCATGTTGCATGGGCTTCAGTACTACGGTTCTCCATTTTAATGTTAGTTGTATTTTGTGTTCCTCAGGGTTCAATTTTAGGGCCCCTTCTGTTTTCATTGTATTTGCTGCCCCTGCGTTCCATCCAAAGAAAGTAGGGTATTTATATGCTCGACAAAGTTGAGTACTTTATAGACAGCAGACAAGCTGAAAGCAACTCAATGGCGCCACTGCAGGTCAGAGGAGAGTATTGCACTCTATTTTGTTACTGATTAAAAAATCAGTCGCACAAAATGAACCCTATTTATTTATTACAATTAATTAATAAAGTGACGTTGTAACTGTGCATATACAAGAGAAGATGGCGGCATTGGCGGTACCGTTTCGCAAGTGAGGCAGCGGGTCTCGTTGGTGAGGGTGCCCTGGAAGATCTCATGCACCCAGGTGGGCGCAGGCGTGGCGTTGCTGTTGTTGTTCTGCGAGTCCAGGGTGCCGTTGGCCAGGCGGCCATTGGTCTTCTCCTGCTTGCGCTCCTCCTGGAGCAGGTCGGCGATGGTGTTGAGCAAGTAGTTCAGGAACTCGTGGGCGTCCTGCTGCATGTAGTTGTCAAACAGCTCTGCGTGGAGACAAGAAGAAATGAAATGTTTTGGAGTTTCTCTCCCCCCCCCCCCACACTCCAGATTTTTTTGTGGTGAAATTGAAATTGAATTTCAACTGAAATTCGAAATTTGCAGTGGGTGGGGTGCCTGAGCATTGTTCTTCTTCTTACCGTTCTCTTTGCGCAGGCGTGTGATGAACTTCTTTGGCGGTATGACGCCGACTTTCCTCTTCTGGTTGGCGATGCTGTGGAAGAGGTCGGCCAGGCAGGTGAGCAGGTTCTCCTTGCGCCGAGGTTGCCCGCGATACGCCAGGATCTTCTCCCGGAAGGGCCGGCAGAAGTAGAGCGCCTGCAGCACCGAGTTGCAGTAGCAGGTGTTCCCGAACTGGAGGTGGAGGAAAAAAAAAAGGAGCTTTTGGTTTACATTTGTGGATCTATCCGGGAAAGCACCACAAGTGGTGAAGGTGACATACGTTGACCAGGCCGAAGTAGTGCTCATTGACCGGAAACTGCTCAGATCCAATCTCTTTCTCCAGAGCAGAGGCATTGGCGCCCTGTGAAGGCCAAACAAGACATGAAACGCTTTTATCATCTTGGTCATTCAAATACAAAAGTGAATAGCCGACGCACCTGGAGTTCTCAGTCATTTTGACAGCAAAAGGAAGTGAACTCCCTGGTGGCCATTCACTGGTAGAGTGGATGTCGTTGCGTGTGTACAAATAGCCATGTATCGCGAAAGCGAGGAGTGTGTATTTAGTTGTGCTTACTGACCTTCATTCAGTGCAAGAAATGCAGTCCACATTTTTACCGATCATTGTTTTATGACAAATGAACAGCTGATGCAACAAAGCCAAAGATTTGTTTGCATTATAGTTCTGATCTGATTTATGAATTTTCGGCCACACTTTTTTGGTAAAAGGAAAAAAAAAGGCGCAAATTGTCAATATCAATCCTCTAGACCGAAGCATTAATGTCTCGTAAATCAGATGATTGTCATGGAGATTATCTCATTGCTTATGTTTGTCAAAACTAAATCAAGGGAGGAGGACTTTGAAAAAAGTGATCGCATATTAATTGTCTATCCTGGGGGGCAAAAGAACACAATTGAATTGCTTCTCAAAGCCGTTCATCCCTAGTTTTGAGGGAACAACTGTTTGAGATTCACGGCCTGCAGATGTTGATCATGCTCTTATTTACAGTCAGCATGACTTTACGACTCCGTTAGCGTAAGTCAGAGACAGACTGGGGCGCGCTCCTCCTTGGCAACAGAAACCCAACTCCGTCGTAAAGCGAGGACACCTGTATATGCCGTTGGAGTGTACAAGGAGCTGGAAGCTCTCCACAACTGCGCAGCTGATGTTCAACCATGTCGTCATTGCCTTGCGTTAGGAATACCAAGTCGGCTGTCAAAAAGGCCAAGCATCTCAACTTGACTCTTGCGTGTCGTTCCCTTGTCTAACAACATCCAATTAACGCCGAGTTTGTACGTCGATTCAGCAGATGTGCGCTCCAAGTTGCTCGCGAGCTGTCACTAGTAGACTGCTTGTTAGCCTGACATTAGCTAGGTGGCTAACTAGCGCCCTTCGCTGCTACAAACGGGGGTTCGAAAAGCACACCGATGTGCATAATCGGCCGTACGGAAAGCAAGCAAAGACGCGGCCAAACATCGCACGACACTCACCATGGTACAAAAAGAGGCAAATTTGGAGACTGTCATTAGGATTTCCATTCAGCCAGCGCCATCTTCCATGCACACCGCCTCGTTCAAGCAGATCGGCTCCCGTTGACTGCTTTGCTCGAGCAGGAGCAGCAGCCAGGATCTGAGGCAGTTGAGGGGAACAGAGGCTAATACATAAAAGCGAGAGCATTCGCTGCAAGTTACTTCCGGGTTGGGCAATTGGCCAAATCAACTTTCCCAGCACGTGAAGAGTTTCAGGCTGAAGAACGAGATGATTCACTGCGAGTAATTTCCGTATCGGGCGGCACCCAATGCCGTCGTCGCCATAGTTAACAACAGTTGTTTTTGTTTATTTTGACAGCAAATGTCTAATTTTAGGTCACCACGCGTAAAAACGAATAAAGGTGGTATCGTAACCACGTTCGACAAGCGCGATTATGTCATCAAAATCGACATAGCAACTGCCCTCATCTTGTAAGCGCGGCTATGAACCTTAAAAAAAAAAGTAGTGCCTCTTGCGCATGCGTGTTAGTGTCGCGTGAATCCCCTTTCCGCCTGTGATCAAGCCAGCGTTTAATTTAAAAAAAAATCATTTTATGTACACTGAAAATGACAAACTCACAGACTTGGTTACAAGACAAATAAAGATCACATTTATATTCTTTTAGAGCAATTAGTCATAATTGTGATGAAAAACGAACGTGTGTAATCTTGAAAATACAAATTTACAGTTAAACAATTTTATATGCTTTACTTTTTTTACGTGTCTAAAATGAACAAAACCCCTGTAACTTTGTCGAATATATTTGTTTCAGGCTACGTACAAGCTATTTTTCTACTTTTTTGTTCAGGCAAGTACACTCGGCAGCACTATTTGGCAGCCAGCAAGGCGGAGCTTGAGGTCCTCGAGTCTCTCTTTCCGCCGTACCCGCCATCTTGTTCAGAACCGGGGTAAGATGTTCTCCGGTTAAAATCATAAATTGCACCCCAAAATATTCCCGTTTAGTCTACATTTCCACTCGCGTATGTAGTACAACACCCCTCTTGTACATTGGTGGCGAAAATAGCCAACCAACTCACCGGTAACGATTAGTAAAGGCCATAAGTGTGAGCCGCAGCTGCGGCGTGGTTCTCCATGTGGGCCTCGAAGGCAATATTACCACACTTTTTACACAGATTCGACAGGTCTTCGGCTTTAACAATCATTTCTGCGTTTTTGCGTTAGTTGTCAATGTTACCAATTGTTCCAAAATATATTTGAAATGTTATAAGCGTCTACATGTGACGCGAGCTCCTAGCTGTTACACAGCCTATATATACAGTAATAGCAGTAGTTGCATTTATGTGTTGTAAATGGTTAAACATGCGAATCTATATGTTAGTCATTTATAAAACTGCAAAAACAAAACTCAAAATTCCTTCCTGGTCATATTGACTTTATGGTTTGTTCTTACAGTAATCAGGCATCATGACTAACACCAGAGGCAAGAGGAGGGGGACCAGGTACATGTTTAGCAGACCATTCCGCAAGCATGGTGAGTGTTTTGCCTAAATTGTGCACGAGCGTGCTGTTGCTGAAAGCCGTGCGGTTACACTTAATTTCCTTTCAAATTGACAGGCCCGATTCCCCTGTCTACTTACATGAGCATCTACAAGAAGGGTGACATTGTTGACATTAAGGTAAGGATTTGAATTTAAACAATCTTTAATGAGACAGCTGTTGGTTACGAAACATGGATTAGCGATTGTGTACAATCTAGATTGCTTTATGATCCTGTATTTTAAGTACATGTTGAAAGTTGAGTTTGAAGTTATCGTTTAAAATCTGTTGCATCTATATAAAATTGTAATTAGGGACTAGCATGGTAATTGGTTTTGCGCACTTTCTCTCAGGGCACAGGTACCGTTCAGAAGGGTATGCCACACAAATGCTACCACGGCAAGACAGGGCGCGTGTACAACGTCACCCAACATGCTGTCGGTGTCATTGTCAACAAGCAGGTCAAGTAAGTACACATCACACAGACACGCACGGGATGTAAATGCCTCAAAAATGATTGATTAGTTGCTTGGGCTAAGCAGAGGGGAAAGGCAACCCCATGTTCACTTTGCCACCGCGACAGTTGGTGTCCACTGTGGTCATTCATGTGGGGGAAATCACTCCGACCTCCAGCATCCTCGGCCTCGACCGCCCTGTTGGAGCAGAGGCGCTGGCGGGGTTACAACAAATGATGGCAGAAATTTAAAACCTGCGATGTGGGCCGAGCAAGCTTAAGATGCCCTGGTGAGAGAGAGCTCCCCTTTTCAAACTTTTGGGTTGTGGGTGATTTGTGCTACAGGGGCAAGATTCTGGCCAAAAAGATCAACGTGCGCATTGAGCATGTGAAGCACTCAATGAGTCGCGCCAGCTTCCTGAAGCGTGTCAAAGACAACGACGCCAAAAAGCTGGAGGCCAAGCAGAACGGCACCTGGGTGGAGCTCAAGCGCCAGGTAGGAAGGAGCACATAAAAAAACTGCCGCCACGAAGCCATTTGTGTTGTTGTTGTGCTTCGAATGTAACTACTTCATGTCACATTCTGTTCTCTGCAGCCTGCTGCTCCCCGAGAGGCTCATTTTGTCAGCACCAAGAAGAATCAGCCTCAGCTGCTGGAGCCCATACCCTATGAGTTCATGGCATAAAGTGGCTGATAAAATTAAAATGTTTGTACACAACTGTCACCGATCATGCTTCTCCTTTCACTTTAAAGACACCGCTAATGCTGAAAAGCATGAGAACAGGGCATCTCACTGAAAATACCATTGAAAACGATTTGCTACACTGAGCAAAGTATATTTCATGATTATTCCTTAATTTTGATTAAAACTCATTTATAAACTCAATTACTCAAGAAATGAGAATCAAGCATCAAATATATGGCATAGAAATGGGCAGCAATTTTTTTTCTGAGAAATATTTTTTTCATGGTAATCTTAGATTTGAGTAATAGGGAAACTACCAAATTCTATAGGAAATTGAGATGCACGTTGGGTGTGGTCAAATTGTATGTTTTTTAATATGAGTGAGATTTTAGAATATTTTTTTTTTAGATTGTATACAATGCAAATGAAGTTCGATATGCACTTTAATGATTTCAATGCATTTTGAGATTGAGGACTTTTTTTAGTTAAAAGATGTCCATTGCGATGAATAGAATTAAAAAGAACTTGAAATTAAATTTGTGTATTTTATAGCTAAGTTTTATGATCAAGAGAATAAAATTCATATTTTTAAAAATGTGTTTTTTAGGTAAAAGATGTACTTTTCACATTAGTACTTTTTGAGACAAATAGGACCCTTGTACACTTAAAAAGTACTTGATTTGGGGCTGCACATGAATAAAATTAACAAAATATATATTTGTTTATTTTTTAGGAAATGTCATACGTTTTACCACAGATTAATCACGTGGAAGTAATGTACATATTCGAATTAGATAAATCCAAGGAAAATGTTTTTTCGGTCTTGTAGTGTCAGAAAAAGTCCACTAGGGGAAGATGTGCATCAAGTTTAATGCTTTTTTTTAAGGCCTTTTTATGGATCAGAAAGGAAACTCCAGTTTATTTTGTTTCGCAAATATTTTGGGAAAATCACCTCAATGAACATTTGAGTATAATGTTTACCGCAGTCAACACATTTGATTCATTACGGAGCCAAGGACGGCTTTCTTGGTCCTGAGGAACACGTAAATAATTACAATTTTCAAACATTAAAAAACAAAATGAAAGCGATGGAACAAATGTTTTCCACGTGTGAGAAGGACCACTTGTTTAATCAGTGCAGGCTCAACTTGGCTGACTGCTGATGTGACAAATGGGTTTATCTGTTCCAACCTGGGTACTTTGTCCAATATTGACACAAATTAGCACCAATCTGCCCAGTTAGTGCCGAGGAGAAAGCGTGAAATCTGTGTATGTGATAAAGAACACTTAATTTTGACTCGTGGAGATGATCTATTCTTTCATGCGGGGATGTAGAAATATTGCCCCCCTACCTCCAAAATTGTTGTTAAAGGTAATGTGCAGCTGTACATAATCCTCATGCCAGAAACCACCACTATTTATTGGTATGTACTATAAACATCTGGCGGTTAGTTGTTTTTTTAAATAATATTCCTCTTGTCTAAGGTTGACACCCGTCCCATAAAAAAATGGAATCGTCCTTTAATTGGGAATTGAATATCGCGGTTTGTTGTGTGAAGAATGTGAAGATTGAATTTAACAATAATGAACAAAATAAAAGACAGGAGATATTACAGACAGCAATGTGGTTTTGGCGGGAGGTACGCAGGACCTCCTGAGGACCCCCGAGAGTTGCCGACGTCTGGTGCCTGTCATAATCGTTGCTTAGTAACACGCTCACGATTCACTCAACACCAGGTTGCACCGCCAGTTTTAAAAATGTCCGATACAGCATATTCACCCGAGACTTCACCGTGTCCTCAAAAGAGGAAACGGCAACAAAAATAAAGACGAGAGTAGGAGAAGCCAAACCCTCAAATTTGCTTGGTTGTGCCGAGACACCTTGAGGAGGGTCCCTTATTCCCAGATCTGAAAGGTGGCAACCCGACTCTTGTCTGTTTTCAGAATTGCATCAAATGCTCTCATGGGTGTGCGGCACGGTGGTTGACTGGTAAGCACGCCGGCTTCACCGTCCAAAGGTGCAGGGTTTGATTCCGGCTCCGGCCTTCCTGTGTTGAGTTTGCATGTTCTCCCAGTGCCCGCGCGGGTTTTCTCCGGGTACTGCGGTTTCCTCCCACATTCCCAAAATATGCATGGCAGGTTAATGGAGCACTCTAAATTGTCCCCTGGTGCGAGTGTGAGCGCGGATGGTTGTTCGTCTCTGTGTGCCCAGTTCAGGGTATACCCTGCCTACAGCGCGGAGAGCTCCAGCACACCCTCAAACCATGTGAGGATAAGCGGATTCAAAAATGGATGGATGGATGAACTCCCATGGGCCCTGAAGCCTGTTTTGTAGTTTTTCCCCTGGAAATCCTTGAAGGCCCCTGAGGTCAGGAATTTCAGTCTTATCGGTGCTGAGTAGTATAAAGGGTTAAGATAAAAGATGGGAAAATAAAATGCAATTAATCACCTGCCAAGTTGACAGTTAAAGCCCCTTTCTATTGATCCAGGGTGTCTGCATTTTTCTTGTAGTGTTTTAGATAAGGAGGTGCTGCTATGTTGGGATGCCAGTATTCCATCCTATTTTCTCATGAAGTAAAAAAAACAACCAGGAATTTATGCTGTTCACAGGAAGTATTTAAATATAGCTCGATAAAGAAGCCAACCCAAAATGCGAAATGAATTAGCCAGCAGCCATTTTGGAATGAGCCGACCTAAAAAAAAAAAATCGAAATATTCTTGTTAACTGCACCTCAAGCAGCTCGCAGGTTCACCTGAGCATTTGCATGACTCACAGAGGTTACTCATTGAATGAACAAGAAGCAAACACACAAGAGAGAGGGGAAGGAGACACAAGTGTGTGTGTGTGTGGGGGGGGGGGTGAGGAGGAGGAGATATTTGGTAAGCTGTGTGGAGTATGAACTTAATCACACGTTTGACACACACACACAAACAGATAGAGTTTGTGCGCTCAGCAAGCAACATCGACCAGCCATGTTACATATTAACCCCCCCCTCCCGCTCAATGTAATTCTAACTTTAATCTAAAAAAATGCATGATTTAAAAAAATAACTATTCTCCAAATATTTTGACTGCAATCTTGAAAATGTTTGTTTTTGTGAAAATACATAATTTTTTCGACGAAATATACAATTTTATTCACATAATATTCCAACTTTAATTTTCATGATATATGAAAAAAATTCAATAATAAATTCATAATTTTTGTAACATTCTGACTATCGCCCGGCAGATGCCGATATATGGCAGAGAAAAATTCAGATTATCGATTCATTGACTGATTAATTCAACAAATGTATCATGAATTAAAAACAATAACCATAACATTGGTCCCTTGATGCTTATGACAGTAAAAATATTAATTATAGGCAAAACAATTCACAGTTTTACAATACGTTGTGCTTGAATCTAAGTGAATGTTTGAGACAACTGTGTAGTAGTGACAGAGGAAATTCCCACTATGGGCCAAACAGAGTGCACACTGTATCGATGTGTGTGTGTGTGTGTGTGTGTGTGTGTGTGTGTGTGTGTGTGTGTGTGTGTGTGCGCGTGTGTCTGCGCGTGTGCTAGGTGTGGTGTCAGCCTGGCTGCCTTTATCACAGAGTCAGGCTTATATATGTGTGCATACTGGGCCATGGGTATTGATCTTCCACCTGACAGCAGAGGGGGTGGGGGCGGGGCTGGGGTTGGGGACCGGATGGGGCTGATAAGCGCGTCGCCCGACCCCCGGCGCACTCACCTGAAGCGTGGGAGGGCACTGAGGTAACGTCCAACAGGCTCTCAATAGGCCTCATTCACAGCGGCCAGTCAAAAGGTTTCACATGGGAGCAGAGGGTGATGTTTAGACAGCGAGATAGCGGCCGCTGAATTCCTACCCGTTGTTTGTTTTCTTGCATTTGTTTCATTTGCTCACCTTTAGATTCTTTGTCATCCGCAAAGCAGTGGAAGGAAATGTTTTCTGAAGATGGAACCCAGGGTGAGCAAATAGACTTGAGAACAGTAGGGTCCCCAAAATTGAACCCTGTGGAACACCATACGACAGTGGGGCAGAGCAGGACTCAGAGCAACTCAGGCTAAAACAAAACTTTTTTTATTATTATTTTTAATATATCTAGTACTTGTCAGGTGCAAGATTTAATACAACACCTCACAATGTATTGTGTAATTAAGTTAACTACAATTCTCAAACAACTGATTTTTTTCTGTGGCTACAAATGTGCAGCAATACAAAAATGAATCCATTGAAAATGAACTCCGAAAGCTCATGTATATTAACCGACACAAACAAAAACGTAGGACATTTTTGCTGTAATTATAGTACATTTTATTTAGTTTTAGAAACATTATTGTCATGTAGTTTCAGTTAGTTGTCGTTTTTTTAAAACCATTTTCGTTGTTGTCATTATCAATTTTTGTTTTCATTTTTTTGTGTTTGTTTTCATTAACTATTATAACCTCGGTGTCCAGCAGTGTCAATTTTTTTGTCATGTTTTAATATTCCAGGGGCCCCATTTTTGATGACAAATCCTTCAAATAATTATCAAAGTTGTGATGCCATTCTAAATTTTTTTTTTTAAACTCTTCGAGTGCACAATTGCATGAGGATGTTATTTTTTTTTAGGGGGAGGGACATCATATTTGGTGATGTCAAACGTTGGTTGAAAGTTTTAATTTCTTAGCTCTAAAAATGTTTCAAATGGCACGAGCGTGGCATATTTTTATTTTTTCCACTTTAGTGTGTTTGAATTTATGCTCAACACGCCACCTCAAGTACACTGTTTACTTTGGAAAGCTCCATTCACTTCCAGTTTGGTTTGTGTGTGAGTGTGTGTTTGAGAGACGAATCTCTCAGGATCTCGAGAAAACTATATTGGTGCGTTGATAAGATTAAGCAGCGCGCGTGTGTGTCATACGTGCGTGTGAGAAATGCAGACAGTCGTCTCCCTCCCGGAGACACGGATGACATTTTTAAAGCTGAAATCAATCAATCAATGCGGATCAAAGGGTGGAGGACTTTTACAATGCTTGAGCAACAGTACGATCACTATTACACCCTCGTCAGCTTTCATTCTATTCAAGTTGCTTTCCTATTTACTGTTTCCCAATGTGATAATTTTTTCAAAAAAATTTTTGAACTGTTAAAAATGTAGAACTCCCCCTTTTGGTTCTCCAGAGTGGTTTGATCCAATAAGTTAAATCAAGCACAGGTGAGTAACCAGCTGTAGGTCAGTCATTGTCCTGCCCCTTATGACATATTTTTTTTGTTGTTGTTGTCATCTTCAATCAGAACATTGCACCTGATTTATGTTAAAGATGGGAGAGAGTTTGCAAAGTGAGAAAAGTTACATCTGCTCGTTTTTTGACTGTAAGGCCAAGTTCACAAAGTTGTGGAAGCTTGAGGCCCACCTGTGCAAGCACACAGGATTGGTAAGTGACACCCCCGCCCCCACAAAAAAATGTTTTGATGTGATAGTTTTTTTTGTTTTTGGGGTGGGGTGGTATTTTCTCCTAGAAACCATTCTCCTGCGCAAGCTGCGACAAGACTTTTTGCAGCCGCTATGCGCTTGCCAGGCACGAGCTCAACCACAGTGGCGAGAAGCGCCACAAGTAAGACCCTCCTCTTCTCTTTTATTGAAATAAAGACCTGAGATGTTTTGTACTTTTGAATTTTTTTTTAAAACTCTTCGAGTGCACAATTGCATGAGGATGTATTTTTTTTTTAGGGGGAGGGACATCATATTTGGTGATGTCAAACGTTGGTTGAAAGTTTTAATTTCTTAGCTCTAAAAATGTTTCAAATGGCACGAGCGTGGCATATTTTTATTTTTTCCACTTTAGTGTGTTTGAATTTATGCTCAACACGCCACCTCAAGTACACTGTTTACTTTGGAAAGCTCCATTCACTTCCAGTTTGGTTTGTGTGTGAGTGTGTGTTTGAGAGACGAATCTCTCAGGATCTCGAGAAAACTATATTGGTGCGTTGATAAGATTAAGCAGCGCGCGTGTGTGTCATACGTGCGTGTGAGAAATGCAGACAGTCGTCTCCCTCCCGGAGACACGGATGACATTTTTAAAGCTGAAATCAATCAATCAATGCGGATCAAAGGGTGGAGGACTTTTACAATGCTTGAGCAACAGTGCGATCACTATTACACCCTCGTCAGCTTTCATCCTATTCAAGTTGCTTTACTATTTACCGTTTCCCAATGTGATCATTTCTTTCAAAAATGTTTTTGAACTGTTAAAAATGTAGGACTCCCCCTTTTGGTTCTCCAGAATGGTTTGATCCAATAAGTTAAATCAAGCACAGGTGAGTAACCAGCTGTAGGTCAGTCATTGTCCTGCCCCTTATGACATAATTTTTTTGATGTTGTCATCTTCAATCAGAACATTGCACCTGATTTATGTTAAAGATGGGAGAGAGTTTGCAAAGTGAGAAAAGTTACATCTGCTCGTTTTTTGACTGTAAGGCCAAGTTCACAAAGTTGTGGAAGCTTGAGGCCCACCTGTGCAAGCACACAGGATTGGTAAGTGACACCCCCGCCCCCACAAAAAAATGTTTTGATGTGATAGTTTTTTTTGTTTTTGGGGTGGGGTGGTATTTTCTCCTAGAAACCATTCTCCTGCGCAAGCTGCGACAAGACTTTTTGCAGCCGCTATGCGCTTGCCAGGCACGAGCTCAACCACAGTGGCGAGAAGCGCCACAAGTAAGACCCTCCTCTTCTCTTTTATTGAAATAAAGACCTGAGATGTTTTGTACTTTTTATTTTTGTCTTTTGGTACAAAGGTGCACGACAGACGGCTGCTCTGAAGCGTTTTTGCGAAACGCCGGCTTGAAAAATCATATCGCTCGAGTGCACCAGCACAAGGAGGGACGGTATCAAGTAAGATTTTTAACCTCTTAACCCATTTTTTAAATGGGCGAAGCCCTCTGAAAGAGATGAGAGGGAGAAAAAAAAAACTGTTGTAGTACCAAGACTGACCTGTGGCGGTAGCATGAAGCCACACGTCAGTCAGACTACTGCATACTGGAATGAAGAAGAGTAGCTAAAATGGAGGGAGCTAGGCTAACTGTTGCCTCATCCGGTGACTAATTTATTAATTGGGCTGATATTCAGAGGTTCGAATCACTGAGATTGGCTCGGCCCAACTAGTTGTTATCCACGCAAGAATTTGTAAGCATAAATGTTGAACGGGTTTAATATTTACGACGGACAGAGCAATTTGCGAGCCGAATGGGGAAATTGTTCTCAATATTGAGGTTCGGCCCGATTATTGGTATTGGTGTACCATAATTTTCATATCGAACAGGTTTGAAATTTAATTGTCTGCCAAGACACTTTTTCTGAGTTAATTGGTGGCGAGGGGGGAGGTGGGGGTGAGGTTACACTTTTCACATCCCACATCAATAATCACTCAGCATAACCTTTGAGACATCCACTAATTGGGGCTTTTGGTGTCTATACAGGTGTGTGTGTGTGTGTGTACCTGGCTTTGACACCAGTTACTTTTAACTTTTTTCTTTCTCCAGTGTACACATCAGGGCTGCCAAAGTAGCTTCAACAAGAAGTACCAGTTGAAGACCCACACGGGGGAACACCAAGGCCATCTGCCTTTTTGGTAGGGAGCTACCGATCGGATGCTCGCATACCTGTCATTGTTTTTAAACGAGCGGTTTCTCGTTCTATAGTTGTCATGTTGATGACTGTGCGCGGGAGTTCCCCTCGCTTGGCAAGCTGAAGCACCATGAGAACATGCATAAAGGTCAGTTGATAAAACATCTGTGATGGCGTTCCCAAACATTTGCTTTCAATTGCTGCATCCAGAAAATTTGAGGATTTGACATTCTTTGAATTTGTTGAACAAGCTGGAACTGGAGTTGTTAACATTTAAACCTGTCTTGTAGCAAATATGAATTGACATCCAGCACTCTGTGATGAAGATTTCAATATTTGTAATCCCGGTGTCCTCCCACTGCTTGTTGGAGACTTCAATCGTGCTCCTCACCGACATACCGTGCAACAAGAGGGGTTCAAACTCTGTCGCGTTATGTTGAATGCTAATGTAAAGGGCGTTTGTGCTTATTTTAATTGCAAAAGAATGCATGTGTATGGCTGACGTTTTCAGGTTACCCCTGTGAGGACGAGCTATGCACATTCCTGGGAAAGACGTGGTCAGAGTACCAGAAGCACCGCAAAGAGCACAGAGGTAAGATGGCCGTTTGGTTAGTTTGCTGTCAGCAGGCCTCTTTGATTATCCATTAGCCCACCTCTTATTTCTTTCTTTCACAGTTAAGGTGCCATGCTCGATGTGTACGAAGCAGTTCAACAACACGTGGTTTCTGCGCCAGCACGAGCTGCTCCACCACAGCGGGGGAAAGCCGAACTTCTCGTGCCCGAAACAAGGCTGCTCAAAGACGTTTAGCCGCCGTTTCAATCTGGACAGCCACGTCCTGGGCGACCACGAGGGAACGAAGCCCTTCAGCTGCGCGCAGCCTGGATGTAACAAAAACTTTGTCATGAAGGTAAAACCAAATCACTGCAAAGTATGATCAGGTCCTGACGCTGAATCCGATCTTTTAAATAGTTGAGTCGATAAAGGACAAATGTTCAGATGGCGATAGTTGTGAAATTTGGTGCATATACGCTTCCAATTCCATTATCAAAATACAGCCATCCAGGCAAATTTCCGAGGAGGATATCCAAAAATTTATTATCGGTACTTCAGGTGACACATTGAAATGCATTTTCAAGCCACAAATGAAGGTGCTAATATCGAGTATGAAACCGTTTATCGTGAATATTTCATGAGATGTAGTATAAATTGAGCAAAATTGATTTATAAGCCATAATTAAATATCAGTTTTTAAAAAAAATGTAAATATGGCTATTGCAGCTATTTTGGTACCAAGCATATGTCGGTAGCCATTACTGTTGACATAGGGTATGTACATCCCCTGCTAAAAAATTTACTCAAACAGTTTTTAGAAGGTTCTCGTGGTTTTTCGGCGCATCCCAAATTTTGGCCAGGAAGTTGAAAATTGCTCCCTTTTTGTGAGTACTAGACTTGCTGACATTTTTTTCACTTGATTTTTCTAATGTAAAATGTGGCTCACTGAAGTCTGGGAAACACTCCCCAAAAATTCTGGGAACTAAGATTTGTATTAGTGTGACCTTTTTTGGGGGGGCCGCTGCTGTTTGTTAGGAAAGTCTCTGGCGTCATGGAGTGGTGCATGATCCAGTCAAGAAAAAGCTGAAGGTAAGACTGGCTTGGCGTTGATGTTTTCAGATTCACGGTGAGTTTCTATTTATTTTTTTTGTGTGTATGTGAAGCAGGGTGAAACATGTTAAGTTTTTCTTCTCTCCCAGAAATTGCTTCCCAGGAAGAAGCAGCCATGGAGTGTTGTGCAGGCCAAGCTGCAGGCCACTGAGACCAACAAACTTGCTGCCAAGCTACACAAAACTCATTTAGAGGACCCGAAATCTTGAGGCGATTATAATTTGATTGCTTGGGGGAAAAAAAAAAAAAGTTTGCTAGTGAACTTCTGTTTGGACATTTTTGTTTTGTTTGCAAAAAAAAAATAAAGCCTCGCTCTTGCTCCAAATGCTAAAATGACACATTCGCTCATCTTTGTTTTCTTTTCAGGAAATGTTTATTAAAACAAACAGGATACACACATTCACATATATAAAATTACAGGTGGTTGTCATGGTGATGGGGGCCTGAGCGCATAATGAGCCCCAGGCTGTGGCAGCTTTCTCAAATGAGGGCTTCGAGGGGCGGGGTTGTTATTCATCCGGATCCAGCACTGGTGTTGAATGTGAAAGGTTTCAACTTTTAGAACTGTCCATCCACCTGAATGGAGCACTGGAATTTACAATTGCTATGGGGTGGGGAAAAGACAGGACATACTGCCTGCAATTTGTGTATGTGGGTGTCCCTCAGCCCGACCCGCTAAAGTGAAGCTGACATGAGCAGAGCAGTGTGTTGGGGGGTCCAGTCTATGGAGTGGCATTGCACGATCTCATCTCTTTTTGGTCCTCTATTAGAATCCCGGCGCAATATACAGTTAAGCATGTACCAGTTAGTTCCACAAGGCCCCGGGCTATACGAGGCTGCCAGGCCAGGAGATGACTGTCAGCGCCACCCGGCTGCGCTGCTCCTTCAACATGGGGACCAGCGCAGAGTGGCTCATTCCCGCCGTGGACAGGCCGTTGACCGCCACGATCATGTCGCCGCACCTGATGAGGTCAGTATTGATTAAATCATGTAGGTAATTTCGAGTGTTCAATCAGCCTGCCATGCATGTTTTTGGAATGTGGGAGGAAACCGGAGTACCCGGAGAAAAGCCACGCAGGCCCGGGGAGAACATGGAAACTCCACACAGGGAGGCCGGAGCTTGGATTGAACCCGGTACCTCTGCACTGTAAGGTCGACGCGCTAACCACTGGGCCGCCTAGGTGAGGTTTTGATGTTTTCATTTTAAAATTAATGATTTTAATAGAATGGTAGTTTGATCCAAATTGGATTTATACGTCAATTATGAATAAACCGCTTCAATGCAATCTACATGTGAAATCGTTTTTAGCCCCCCGGGTTGTTTTTTTTAAACTACATATAGATTTTTAGATTTTTTTTTAAAAAATGATAAATATATTTAACTGGTCATTTTTTTGTTGAAAAAAAAAGGCAAAACTAATGCCACAAGTAATACAGGGCTTTTGAAGAATGTAAACGCTCTGTGGGTGGGATTAAAGTGCAGTTTGTCTTCCATCCTTTTGAGTTAATTGTTGAGTGGCATCCAACTTACTTGAGGCGGCCATCGTAGTAGGCGGGGGTGCCGAGGACGATGGTCTTGATGAAGAAGGCCTGGTTGCCGTGGGTCTCCTCGTAGCCCCCCACGATGCTGAAGCCCCAGCTGCCAGGGTGGCTCCTCCGCAGGACGATCTCGTGGCTGCTGTGCAAGTAACTGCCAGCAAAAATGAGCAGAAAAGACATAACACAAATAAGATGCTACTGTACCCCCTTCTTTCAGTCAGCGTTTCATCAACTCACCTGGGCAGCCCCAGCCACATGACCCAGGAAGGCGACCAGTTGGCATCAAAGTCGCTGTCGTGGGCGTGATTAAGCAGCTGGTCCCGCTGGCGCTCCTCCACCATGCTCACTTCCAGCACACGTAGCTGCACCGAGGCCGATGCGGCGCTGGCTTTCAAGGTGCCCACCGCCTCGGTGTGGCTCAGGTACGTCAAGTCTTGCCCGTTGATGCTCAGGAGAACATCGCCTGACACGGGGCGGGGGGAGCACAGATGTACAATACATCTTTATTTATGTTGCAATTTATACAGCAGCTGTAACAAAGCGCTTTCCGGAACAGTTAAAATGACAAAATACAAAAATATAACAACACATAAGACACGGACAGTCATGCAATCGTAACCATAATCCAGCCTGATGTCAGATGGTACTCTCCAAAAATTGGGGAGAACAAATACTTGATTTGGGGATTGTAGTGATATCAAATCGATTTTCCCCATTGAAACGAATTGAAATGCCATTAATCGGTTCCATTCGTCTGTGGAGGAAGCAGCGTGAAATGCGGAAGTGTTTGATTTGCAACCCAATTTTTGCTGAAGATATTAGAAAGTGAGAATTGAATTCTCTTTTGTAATGTACAACTTTGTACGTGACTATTGATGTATAGAATTACATGATAGATTTGTTCATTTTTTTTTATTATTTGTTTCATGTTAACAAATCGAGGATTCGGTACTCTTTTGGTGTTTCAGTCAGAGGTGCTCTCACCTCGTTTGATTCGCCCGTCTCTCGACAAACATCCGTGCGGTTGGACGCTGGTCACGAAGATGGGTAGCTCGCCGCTCTTGCTGCCCCGACCACCCGCCACCGTCATGCCCAGAGACTCGTGGGGCTCCTTCTTCACAGTGATGTGTTTCTCTTTGCAGGTGACACACTGGGACAGGTCCTGGTGCACCGTAAAAGATTTGTGAGTTGCTTACAGCCCCCCCGCCCCCACCCTAAAAAAAGGTGAGATATGGAAAACATGTGGGCAGTGTTTACCCGATGCGTGCTGGTGCGGGAGAGGTGCAAGGGCAGCGGACTGAGGCTGGTGCTGTGGTTAGGCAGGAAGTGATCAAGGCAGTAGAGATCTCTGGTGGAGCTGGATTTGGGCGGCGGCGGCGGAGTCGGTTTGCTGGCTCGGCCGATGAGCAGGTGCACGCGCTCGCCGCTAGCCTATCGAATAACAAATTCAATTCGTCAGTTCCAAGTTAACTCATTCAGTACCAGCCAATTCTGGACCAAGTCTGAAAAGACGTTTAAAAACGTCTTTGGGAGTGAATGAGTTAAGCCGTCCACTGTAGTAACCGCTGTCCCTCAAAGGGTTGAATTAAAATAATGAAATTTGATTGCTTTTTAAAATCATTTTGAATACATTCACGCAACTTTTCACCCTTTTTCACATTTTAAGACCTGACCACCCATACCTTGTCGAACCAAGGTGGCCGGGTACGGCCACCCGGATGAGTATCTAAGATTAATATTGATGGGGGCCCAAAATTTTGTGCGTCCAAACTTGAGTGTCGCCAAACGCATCCCTCACCTGGATGATCTGTGCAGCCTGCTCGGGGGTCCCGTGGCGCAGGTCCTGCTCGTTGACAGCCAAAACACGGTCATTGCCTCGCAGCCGGCCGTCTTTAGCCGCCAACCCCCCATCCAGCAGGTCCAGCACAAAGACCCCGGACTCGTCAGTCCGTCGCACCAGTTTGATGCCCAGCTGCTCGGCCGAGTCGCGCTTGTGCAAGGTGATCCTCAGCGACACGGGGCTAGGCGGGTTACCCTCGGGGGTGGAGCAGGGGGCTTTGGGGACAGCCGGCGCGGAGGGCGGCGCCCGCGACGCGCAGCGCCGCTCTCGGAGGACGGTCAGCTGCAGGGTGGTGCACGGCCGCGCTAGCGTCGAGCGGGCGAAGCTGTGCGGCACGTTGCTGATGTCCACGTTATTCACCTTGGACGAGAACCGATCGCAAGTTGCGCAAGCCACAAAATAGTAATTATGAAATCACACCCGGTGTTTAGTTTTAAGTGAGGTGAGCTGAATTTTTTTTAATATAACGTGAAATTTCATTGCGTTAAGAAAAACCGCAAAGATAACCTTGAATTGATGGAAAATTAAATTGAAGTGACTTGAATCAGATAAAAGCAATAATCATTTGAATGAATGAAATAGCGATGATAAAATATCTGGTTAAAAAGTTACATTGAGTTGATGAAATCAAACCATAGCCAGCCAATTCAACAGAATTAAATGAAATAACTGATCAATTGAATTTGCTCCATTTAACTGATTATATTTTAACGGCAACAAATTGAAATGGGCGGTAAACTAGGTTGCGTTAAATAACAGCAAATTAAACGGATGCGAACGAAATACAATAAGAATCCATTCGCATTGAATACAGCGACCGAAATTAAAAAGGAGTTGACTTCAATAATAGCAACAATAAAATACACGGGCCGCAAATTAAACTGAATTGAATTCACAGTTAGGAAACAGAATGTCTGGTATGATCAAAATATGGACTGGATTTCGTCTCACCTGCAGTATCTGGTCCCCCGCCAGCAGCCTCCCGTCCCGCGCAATGACGCCGTCTCGGTACACTTCCTGGATCACGATGTTGATGAGTGGCGTCTCGTTCCCGCCCACGATGCTGATGCCCAGCTCCACGTACGGATTCGCTCGGTGCACCTCCACTGCTGTTATCTCGCCTTCCGGAAGCGACGGCAGCTTGACGCATCCTGTTGGGGGGGGGGATATAAAAAAATGTATTTTATATTTTTCTGACTGATAAGTTTGACATTTGAGATGCCTCTGACGCTTTGAAAGCTTATTGCTCGTGTTGTGAAGTGTGACTCCCCCAAAAAAATGTCACTTCACTAGAACAGCTGAACTTTATTGGGGGGGTTTAATCACGAGGGGGCTTGAAGCGAATCAAACTGAAGCGGATTTGTACCTTCTTCTGCAGAAAGAGGCGGAGACTCGGGGCAGTCCCAGCCAGAAGATGTTGAGCTGACTGAGCGGAGGAGGTGGATGCAAGGGTTACTGAGGGGTCGCTTCACCCTGGGGATGTTACACTCCATCCCCAACACACCTGAAGGACCATTCCCGCAATTAAAAACCAACAGAAGCACTTAAGATGCCTTTTTTAGGAGGGGCGGGGGGGTGACTCACTGTCTTCCTCAGTGCTCTCCTCGAAGGCAGGGGTATCCAAGCCCGCTTCGTTGGTCCTCATCGGCGGGTTGTCACAGGCGAGTGGCGGCGAGGGAGTGGCATCGCCCAGGTCGGTCTGCGGCGAGCGGGGGGACCGCGGAGGACTTTTGACCATCGCTCGTTCGTCGCCGCCGCCGCTCTCCTTGCGCGGAATGTCCACGTTGGTCTGCTGACATCGCGTCCCGGGACACCTTGGGCCAGGTAACGCTTTGTTAATCACATATGGAAAATCGGCTTTTATACAAGTAGTTGCATCTCTTGAGGGAAGTGAAACGACTAAAGTAAATATTTAATGGCGCATCAAGCGGAGAGGAGCCTGTGTGTGACTTTCCACTTTTTAATCACCTCATTTCGAGTCGTCCACTTACACAACGGGGGCAACACTTGACTCCTGTTGCTATCTTGGGCCTCTTAAGTCGCAAAGGGAAAGCCACGGCAAACCCACGTGCGGTCAGAGGTCTGATCTTTATTTAAAACAATGCTACGCTAATCCCGACAAACGAGGCCTTGATTGATCTTTCTGGGTTAGAGTCAGGGCCAAGAGTCTTCCGACAAAATAACCAAAGACATTTTTTGTGGTTCTTCTAATGGAGAACTGATATGTGTGGGCAAGTGACAAATGTAAGACGTCGGCCTCCTCAAAAAAATAAATAAACAAATAAATAAATAAAAAGGAGCTGAGTCAGAAAAGCCTTTCACTGGTAGTTAGCATGAGCCGGTAAATGGAAATCCCCTTAAGATGCTCGGTGGGGGAGGACGGCAAGCGGATAAGCTGTCAATGAGCGACGCGTCAAAACACAGATGGATGCTGAGGGGGAAAATCAACAAACCAATCTCTGGGCTCCCAAAAAAAAAAAAAAAAAGCCCCACGAACATTCGTGACACTGCACATTTCCACAGGTCCTCCTTTTAACCCTTTCATGTAACCTGATGACATGACAAACTGTCCACTGTCACTTCACTAGAACAGCTGAACTTTAAAAGTGGCAAACGTTCCTTGATATACCAGCATGTGAACAAACCAGTTTGCTTTCTCTGTTCACGTGACTTTGGAGGCCAAAGCATGACTCACAAAAATTACAAATATCATTTGAGGGTCCTGCTGCTCCCTTCATATGACACTTTTTTTTTGAGTACACCTGTGGAGGATCCTGCAGATCAGAGAGATTCTTGGGTCTCCAGAGGCAGCTTGAAATACATGCTCGCTACTCAGCCCGTCAATTTCGAACAGCTGTCCTGATGCGGTTTCCCGCCAGAAGCCTTCCTGAATTCACCTAACTTGCATCAAACTCCTGAATTAGGCTCAGATGGGGAAACTAAGTGTCAAACTCAATCGACATTTACATCTCAAGTAGACATTGGCTATCGACTCACCACAAACCGGGGTTGCCCTTGGCCGTCTCGCAGAAGAAGTGATTGAAAAGATCTCGGGTATTGAAGTTGCTCAGCATGGTCGCCAGAAGAAAAGTGAGAACCCTGAACAGCTTCTGGCCGGCCAACCCATGACCGTATGACTTGGGAGCGGCTAATCCTTCGTCACATGACCGGCAGCCCAGTAAATCTCCCCCCCCGACACCCCCGCTTAACCTTCCACTCTCTCAAGGGATCGCCGCACCTGGTCCAAACGGGCCAGGAGCCAAAGAATGAATGAATGGTTAGCGTGAAAGTGGGTGCTGAGAACCACAACATGAAGCGCCTGACTGAAGCCTTACTGATTATACACAGTCTGTTACACTCACATTTAGTTCAACCACATCTAGTGTGCAACAAGTTGATTTGCCCAACCTCGCCCCCTGACATCCGGATTTTAAGATAAGAAATTCTTTATTAGTCTCACAATGGAGAAATTCCCAATTCACAGGAGCAAAGTTATGAAAAGAAGTAGAAGAACAAAATATAGGAGCTGCTGGAAAGGCAGCCACTCTCGCGGCTTTTTGAAGTCAAAATTGAAAAAAATTTTGGCCTGTCTTACTGCCGCTTCTCCTCTACCCGCACCGCCCGTCAACCGGTGGTGATGACTGAAACCAGAACCAGATTGCTTCTTTTGCTGCCCAAAATGTTTTTTTTTCCCTCGAGTTTTTGTTTTTTTTTCTTATCCAGGTGGCGGATCGAGACCAGTGGACGTCATTGAATTGTCTCAACCGCGGGCTTGTGTAGCCCTTTGACACTCGTGTGATTGCAATCAAAATAAATAACACTTGATTTATGTTACAGTCCACTTGCATTGGTGCCACAATAGTTGAACGGGAGAATTTTCTAAATCCCCTTTTTTTTAAAGAAAATTATGGTTTAACTCCATATTGAGGGTGGGCAGACCACTTCCGAACGATATGTCACAGAAAGATCCATTTCCTGGTCTATGGCTGTCATCACATACTTCCAGACAACTTTCATTAAATTCCAAATTGTGGGCAGCCAGACTTCAGGGAATTTCAGCTTTTTGGGGGAGCCAGTCCGACTTCCTAACACTGTCGCATTGGCATCCTTCATTTCTTGTTTTGTGGGTCTCATAACAGGAGATTTTGGTCGGTTGTTGTGGTTTGTAGCACTTCTTGGTACAACCATATGGCATACATGGTGGCATTTTCACCATAGAGACAGAAAGTCATGGGAAAACACCACCTAGAAATCAATGTATTAAATTTCGGTGGGTTTAGCGAGAGGCAACACAAGATGGCTGCCATTGGCTTCACTTTGACGAGTAAGCGCCATTGTAAGTCCAATCATAGTTTTTCTATATTTCTGGTGGCATCGCCAAAAGCCGAAGCAAAAGCATCACCGAAATGCTAGTTGAAATGTCACGTCACACTTTTCCACTTTGGTATCCACAAAAAAAAAAAAATCACCCAAAACACTCCAGAAAGTGAAGGGTTTTTCATGCCCACCTGTGTTTGAGGTGTGCCTCCAAGTCACATCTGGGCATGCTGAGTGAGCACAGCGGCGTCAGCGGACACGTGACCGACAGCTTGTCCAGCAGCTTGTGCACCAGGATGCTGGACCTGCGGCACGCCGGCAGCTGCAGCCGTGTGCGGTCCAGCGGGCAGAAGTCCCTCTCCTGCAGGAAGCTGCGCAGGCATCGGGCGCAGAAGGTATGGCCGCACGGCGTGTCCAGCGGCTGCACCAGCGGCTGCAGGCAGATGTGGCACACCAGGTCGTCGTCCACCTCCAGCCGGTAGTTGTACAAGTGGTTCTCCCTGCTGCGGTGCACCTGGCCGCACTCCGAGCACGGGGCCTCCAGGGTGGGCTCGGGAGGCCCGGAGAGATCCACCTCGCATCCCGGGCTGCCCATCCCGGCCCACGCAAAAGGCGGCTTTCGGGCACGGCGGCGAGGGAAGCTCCTAGCCCATAAGCGTCACGGGACGAACGGGTTGCGGCGAGGACGGACGCCCCCCGGCGGATGATGGCGCATCCCAACCCTGCAGGTCAGAGGGTAAGACAGCTGTTTGGGGGGAAAAAACAACAAGTGTCTGATTATGTTGCTGGGCATTTATTCATGTGGCAAATACTTTGTGCACGTGAGCCCAGTGTGTTGCACGCTACAAAAGCCCCTTGTGTGTGTGTGTGTGTGTGTGTGTATATATGTGTGTGTGTGTGTGTATATATGTGTGTGTGTGTGTGTATATATGTGTGTGTGTGTGTGTATATATGTGTGTGTGTGTGTGTATATATGTGTGTGTGTGTGTGTATATATGTGTGTGTGTGTGTGTATATATGTGTGTGTGTGTGTGTATATATGTGTGTGTGTGTGTGTATATATGTGTGTGTGTGTGTGTATATATGTGTGTGTGTGTGTGTATATATGTGTGTGTGTGTGTGTATATATGTGTGTGTGTGTGTGTATATATGTGTGTGTGTGTGTGTATATATGTGTGTGTGTGTGTGTATATATGTGTGTGTGTGTGTGTATATATGTGTGTGTGTGTGTGTATATATGTGTGTGTGTGTGTGTATATATGTGTGTGTGTGTGTGTATATATGTGTGTGTGTGTGTGTATATATGTGTGTGTGTGTGTGTATATATGTGTGTGTGTGTGTGTATATATGTGTGTGTGTGTGTGTATATATGTGTGTGTGTGTGTGTATATATGTGTGTGTGTGTGTGTATATATGTGTGTGTGTGTGTGTATATATGTGTGTGTGTGTGTGTATATATGTGTGTGTGTGTGTGTGTGTGTGTGTGTGGCACCCAGATTACGTATCGCTGCTCCTGTCCACTAATCTGACAGTATAATCTCTCTTTTTGCTCTTGCCCCACTGCAATCTTCCAATTCCACCAGGAGGGAATTATCCGGGATTGAGGCGGAGGGAAAAGAGGGAATCAGGGGAGCGATCGAAAGAGAAAAGCGGGCGTGTTTTTAAGAGGCTAAAAAAAACAAAAAACAAAGGAGATTTAGTAGTACATTTTTTTAGGTACTAGTACATTACTTTATGTATTTTTCTGTTGACTTTTGACTTCTACTCCCCGCAATCTAAAAGAGACATATGTAACGACTCATCAAGATTGTTTTTCTGCAGTTGACTTTCGGTTGTCGCCTTGACACATGAGTGACGACAACCGCATACTTGGTCAGCTAGCTCAATGCTAATGCTAACACAGAATGAGGAAAAACTCTTGAAGCAACTGATAAATGAACACTAATAGTGCAGAAACACTTTAGACATTTAATAACAGTACTCAGTCATATATTCTTTATCTTCCGCGACGAGCTGAGCTGTCTATGCCGTTTAGTACATGTACAGTATATTTGTCTGACTGTCTGTTTTCGGTGGCCAAGGCCTGCAGCTTTAAACGTGCGGAACAGTAAAGTTCGACTCATCAATTCAACCTCCAGTAGTACTTTCTATGCTTTTGTAGGCTTTGGTTACCATGACGACTGGGGGTGGAGCCTGACCTTTACGACCCCGCAGTCTTCATCTCAATTTTAAACAGGTTCCACCAGCCGATCCCCTTTCGGTTCCGGCAGAGGGCCTCCTTCGACACGCACCTGCTTCTCACTATCATCTACTGTCGCCATAGCGACCAGGATGGATACCAGGCCGCCTATCCTGCTCTGTTGCGCAGCGCTTTGACATTCACAGAATGCCGAAGGAAGCATGACACATGATGAGTCCTACCACCACGCTTCTTACAT